AAGAAGAATGATGCTGATGTTTCCGTGCTGATGGATGCAGTACTCATTTTCATGGACGATCTTCAATTGGCCAATCAAGCAGGGAACCTGGTTCCTGTTAAGAGCAATTCGGTTTTAAGGCACTTCTTTTCAACATGTGGAGAGTACTCGTTAAAACCCGGTTAGGACTCACGAAAACGTGTTGATCCTGCTTGGAAGTTATATATAGGGGGTGTCCTGTAATGTTTACAGAGAACACGAATGTTCGGAATGGAGAAGCCAATGGATCTCGTCTTTTTGTGAGAAAGGTGAATGTGAGGGATGGTTCCACCCCCATGGTTATTCAACTCGACAACGTCTGCAAGATTCGGGCTTTTTCCTCAGGTCAAGTCAAATCTATCCTTGTGAAACATGAAATGGAGACTATTATGCCATGTACTTTTTATGTAACGGGGCAAGACTACACTTTCAGCCCCAGATGGTTTTATGACGGAGAAGTTGTATACACCAAGATGAAGGGTAAGCAGTTTCCGATTATCAGCAATTCTGCGACAACTGGCAACAAATTACAGGGATATACTGCAGTGAGGTTATTGGTACATTCATGGCGATACTGTCAAAACTGGCTTACGTGGTGTTATCAAGGGTGCGAACCAAGAGTGGATTGTTCTTATTGAAGAAGCTGGATCGGGATCCAAAGAACTTTGCCATGCCACAACGGATGAGAGACATGCTTGCAAGAATTAAGGTACTATTGGGCTTTCTGTCCTAGGGAGAAGAACAATACGATGAAATGTTCCTAGCGAGAAGACGGTTTCTTGTTATAAGTATAAACGGTAGGGAATAGGGTAAATTAATCTATATATAAAAACTTTTATTACTACAACTACCTTTCTGAGATTCGCATTGCACCTCGTACGTCATCAATGTCAGTCATTGAAAAAAGATCAAGCGTCCAATCAAATCACAGGCGACCCCGAAAAATTAGGAGCCAACTTTTAAAATGTGAAGAACGCAAGGCGACTTTCATGTGCATGTACATGCGTTGACTGTATCCCGTCAATACAATACTAGTCGAATACGTAGACTTCTACAGGGCCTTCTAAGTAATGCGCGCCGGGTATAATTCAAACCTCTGCCCCCATCGGTACCATTACCCCTAAAGCAAATCGTCTCCAGGAGACGAAATTCAGGAATTCGACGTCATTAAGGACTGGTCATTCCTCAACATGACGTCTGCTCATAAATGACGTGTTTGCTCATTCTGCCAATCGGCTTCATTTTTCAAGTTGTTCTTTCCAATGACGTTCATCTTGTCATCGGAATTGGCTTCATTGCAAGATGAACATGATGGATTCTGGCAAGATCATTTGCTGTTGCAAGTTGGCGGCTTGACACCTCGAGCCATAGCTACCTGGAGCCTAGTAGAGATCAGACAGCAAGAACAGATCGTACCATAATTATCAAGTAGTGAGCAGAAGAACAAATAAAATGTGTCGGTGGCTGCCTTTTGTCGTCTTGTTCTTTGCAAACAGCTTCCACGGTTGTCATGGCTTTTCGGCAACGATGACCCAGACACCCTTTCTCCATGCCCAGGACATGATTGGGATTTGGAGAGTCTGCAAGAAGGTCCATCAACCATTTCCAAATCCCTCGGAAATGTACAAGGAAACCATTGGTTCCATGATGGCCATCACCACCAAGAGTCCACGAGAAGAGATTGCCTTGCGACTCAATGAAGACGGAACCTTTGATCCCTACACTCCTCCTCTTCCCGACGACGATGAAGATAACGATCAACGGGATTTGCATCACTTACTGGGAAGAGGAGGTTGTTGGACCTATGAAGATCAAACCCTGCTACTGGCGGCAGATCGACCACCCAATGCCGATCCCAGAATGGTACAGGATACTCTCTTTCGAGGACGGTTGGTGCCACAAGTCAGTGAATGTCTCCATGATAGTAATTCCGGGGAGACGGCTGATCCAGAAATTGACGTGCATTTGGCCATTCCACAGGGTCAAATATCAACGGGGAAGTTTCTCTATCCCAAACAACACAAATTCTTCTTTGAGGAACCCATTCTCTTTAAACCAATCAACTTGGGATTCTTCTTTATGAATCAGCTATTGGGAAAACGAAATGCTCAACAAACCAAACCAGAATTCAACGAAGAGGACAACAAACCACCACCCTTGTTTTATCCAGAAGAATTCTACAATCGTACCTTTTACTTGGCCACTGCGCCGCATCCCGTCGATGAAGCATACGCTGCCGCCGATCCCCATTACGACGAAGACGCCGTCATGTGGGACTTGCGGGTGCTACAAGTATCCTTTTATCCCAACAATACGTTTGCCGCGTTCGGGGCGGAAAAGATTTTGAGAGGCCGATTTGGACTCATGGGAGAGTATCAAGATCACTTGTGGTTACAAGTCAACCTCTATGGTGCCGGCCGAGATGTGTCGGGGAGTGTCTTCTCGGAAGGACGACTCTTGACACAGGAGGATCGAAGAGGATACGTCGGACCCATTGTGTCCTATCCCAATCAACGCAACCAAACCACCTATTACGTCTACGGGGAGTACTATTCCGGTGTGGATGCCAAAAGGGCCTACTCACCCGACTCACTCGGCACGTTTACTCTGCAGGAGATTGATACGGAAGCGGAAGAAGAAGAGGCGAACTATTACCCAGCAAAGGAACCGCAAGCGAATGACAATGGATACGATAGTTTTGATGATCTTGCCATGGCCGGTTTTAATTTCACTGGTGCCTTGGCTTACGATGGTAGTGTCAGTGATAGTGGGTCGTACGGTGACAGGGACGAATATGAAGAGGAAGAGGACGACGACTATTGCGATGATGAGTACTACGGCGATCAGTACCACGATGATGGGTACTACGATACTGCCACAGACGATTGGGGTGGCTCTGGCCCCGATCTGCCTTTTCAATAGCTCGGAGCGAAAAGAACGGTAGAGCAGGCAAGCTGCGAGTAATGGTCATCCATTGAAGCGATCCTTTCGCGGCTACGACTTCCTCCATCAAATAAAACGGTCGTTGCCCAACAACGACAATCAACGGTGCTGCCAATGCGTCCAAGAACCATGACCACCACCACCACCACCGGTGCCGTTTCACAGAGTCCACACGCAACTGGGATCTGTGCGGGATGAGAACCGGAGAAAACACACACAACACAGCGCGCTCTGGTGCACCTGAAGTTACTACAACGCAGCCATAGGTATACTTGTATTCTTAATACTTTGTAATGCTACTAGTATGCTAGCTAGAACAACCCATGGGGCTACCCTGGGTACCGGTGAGCAGACCCGCAAAGACAATAATGATTATCGGGTGGGCAGCGAGCCCGACCAGGAGCCATGACCATGTGGCACGACGCTTCACGGAGAATCGAATCTCAGAGTCGAGTCCTTGCAAGAATGCATTCTGTGCGAGGACGAGAGCCTGTTGAAACATAAGACAGTTCTCTCGGCTCCATCTTCTGCAGAATATGATGCAAGGTAAGCTTGCCGCCGGTAAGCAATCAATTACACTAGGAAACTTTGGCTGCGCATCAAAACTTTAGAACCAGCCACGGCTCATTCGAATACACGTCTAGCTAGAAGTTACGAAGTACACCACTATCGGTACCGCAAACCCCAAGTTTGCACAATCCTATCAGCGCTAGAACTTCAGACATTCCTCTGGGTCAAGAATTCTTCAAACCAATCCTTTACCAGCTGAGTACTTTCCCAGCGCACTGAATATTGACTCCATGGGCAACCATTATGCATTGCATACTGTAGCACTTCCAAATGGCCATATCTAGCAGCAGCAGTAGAGGTGTCTTCGTCCCAACGACAGCCGTTTTCATGGGCATACTCCAGAATTTGCAAATGCCCATTTTCGGCAGCATTAGTGCAAGTGGCTTCCCCCCAATGACAACCATGTTCACGAGCATATTTGAGGCACTCCAAATGGCCATATCTTGCAGCACGACTGCATGTGCCTTCATCCCATGAACAACCGTTCTCATGGGCATATTTCAGGATGTCCAAATGGCCAGCAGCTGCAGCAGAGCGTCATGTGTGTTCATCCCATGGACAGCCATGTTCATGGGCATATTTGAGGCATTCCAAATGGCCACTGGCAGCAGCAGAGCGGCATGTGTTTTCAGCCCAATCACAGCCATTCTCATGGGCATATTTGAGGCAATCCAAATGGCCGTTAGAGGCGGCATCTGTGCATGTCCGTTTGTCCAAGGGACAGCCATTCTCATGGGCATACTTGAGGACATCCAAATGACCATTTTCAGCAGCATCGTGGCATGAGTTTTCAGCCCATGGACAGCCATTTTCATGGGCATATTTGAGACATTCCAAATGGCCATTTTTAGCAGCAGATTGGGTTGTGGCTTTATCCCAAGGACATCCATGCTCATGGGCATATTTTAGCACTTCCAAACGACCATTGTAAGCAGCCAAGTAGCATGTCAAGTTGCCCCATGGACAGCCATTTTCATGGGCATATTTGAGGCATTCCAAATGGCCATTTTCTGCAGCAGATTGGGTTGTGCGGATGTCCCATCGACATTCATTTTCATGTGCATATTTGAGACATTCCAACTGTCCACCAGAAGCAGCACTTCCACAAGTATTTCGCTTCCACGGAAAGCCATTTTGATGGGCATATTTGAGGATGTCAATATGACCATTCAGTGCAGCATTTTTGCATGTGTCCGTATCCCAATCAAATCCTTTGTTTAAGGCCCACTCAAGAACGTGAATATTGCCTGCTATTGCTGCTGCAGAACAGACAGCATAATCATGGATGTGGTAACCAGTGCCAGTACGACGGTGAGTGTACCAGTACTCTGCACGGGGCACACTGGAGACAGCTGCACTGTGGAAACTATTTGAATAGGTTGCTGCTCGTCTACCTCCATTAATATTCCAGAAAATGACTTTTGGAGGATTCAACACACTTCCACAATAAGTTTCATAGAGATCTTTCATACCGTGGCTGACGGGTGCCACAAAGGCAAATTGACCCATGCCAACAAAAGGGAAAATATTGTTGATCCAAATATCCTTGTGGCGCAAGCAGGTTTTGGCTTCCCGGGCAAGCCTAAGATTCGAAGTTGCCTTTTGGACAATAGCATTCGCATGCTCCTGTAGTGTCAAGACAACTGAATCAACCTGTTGCTGTAGTGCCAAGGCATTCTCAAGCTCCTGAACCGCAATTGCTACGGGGGAGTTAATGCTCGTCTCAGACTGGAGTTGCTGCAATTTTTGGGAAAGTGCTTCTGAAGCATTTCTGCCAGCAACCTCAACAGCATTGCTAGGATCTGCTGGACCTTTTGCTCGCTTTTGTGGTGCTGGCAAGGCCGACAAGCTGAAGTCTAAACCTCTTTTGCCGTCGCCTTCCATCTTTGATCTTGCTGATTTGATTGCGATTCGGACGGAGTACGGCTGCTGTGCTAGCTAGCTTGTAGATGAGACGGGTTGTTTTGTTGCGGCGTGGTGGCAGATGGCATTGGGGTTCGCGGGTTTTTGTGGCACTCGCTCGCGAGGATGGCGATGCCATAAGAATAATAATGTTATTGTTTGTGATCTAGCTCGCCACATACTAGAGCTAGTACATGTAGAGAGTTCCACCTAGCTAGCTGGTCCAGAGATGGGATGGTGAATAGTTAGTTATCCAAAAACAAACAAGGCGCCATGATGATCGTTCATAGCAAGATCAATTGATAAGGTTGAAGCACTACTAGTGTAGATAGCTAGGTTGACGAGCTCATAAAATGGAAACGAATCGAATCACGATGCGATGGTGTAATCTTCTGCGGTTTTGTGGCCGCTTTATTCAGTACATGTACTAGTACCACTGCCGTCGCGAACGAGTCCGGAAAACTAGTTTTCATGTACAATGCGCCGTGTTGGGAAGTTCCTTCCCCTTTGATTGGGCCCATGGCACACTCCGCACAAGCTGCAATAGACGTGCTTGAGGATGCCAACTTGCACTTGGCAGACCCATCCATAGGTATTCCCCTAATTCTACAGTGACTTTGTGGCGGCAGGCAGAGATGCAAGGTGAAGGCATTATTAGTTCCTGTGGACAAACTGCTGATCTCATCTAAAGCCAAAATGGAGGCTATGCGGTCGGCCACAGGGAATTGAGGCTGCGTTTGCAAAAGGAGTGTACCAGCATTATTATGTCTGCTCCACAGTTTGACTAGCTCAACATACGTACTGGAAGCGCCGTACCGGTAGGACCAAATTCTACTAGGCGTATCGAGAGTCTAGCTAGCTAGCTTGTCAAACTTTACAATATTGCGTCTGCAACTGATCTGAATCTAAGTTTGGTCTATAGTTAATCATTTTGAGAGCTACGGTAGTAAATCCCAATTCATTGAAAAGATCATTCATTTGGGACCAGCCCAGGGTTTCCGATGCAAGATATATCCTGACCACAAGAGTCGCCATTTTGTTGATTTGACTTGCGTCGGTCGTCCTCGATCCCGTCACCTTGATATCATAACTTCTTTTGGATACATTGGAGGTTTCATACGTTCCAGTATTCTATTCATCACAACAATCAGTCCTTGATGGCTGCTCCTTCCTCTCGACCCGCCCAAAACACGTAGGCCAAGCGAATGGCGCCAAAGTAAAGCCCCAGTTGACCAAAATACCACACCGTCGCACTTGTTTGAGAGCCTCCTTCTGCTCCGCCTTTGCTGTTGGGATGTAGCACAAACATGGTCTTCTGGTTAGCTAGCTAGAGTAGCTCAATAGATATAGTTAGTTAGCAACGAGAAAGCTGCGGGATGGCGATGAAGCTGCGTCGTCTTCTTGTGGTTGTGGGTGTTGTCGAAAGAGGAATTGGGTGGTGGGAAGAGAAGTCCGTGACTGATGAGAATTAAGTCACGCACTTTTTCGCCGTTGCCATCTGTTCACGTTGCCGTTCCTCGGATCTATCTTCGTCCCATTTCTTTCAACTCCATGACATTCAGCAAAAGGAGCTGTGCCCAGTCCAGAGTAGGTCGCTACTTAATAGAACACAATAATATATGGCAGTATGACGTTTCTACAACATCATCCACTTGCAGTGCTGTGCTGGATCGCCATTTGGATATCTTCTACCCATGGCTTTATCGTGAGGACCCATCGAGGTATCCAAACTGTCCAGACCGTCCTACATGTACAAAGTAGCAGTAATGAATCATCTGACGAACAACCATCGGATCTGTCTTGGTTACGAGATGCCATGGACACTCCCATGGAACCCGATGGCCTGGTGCTAGTAGAATCGCAACCTGGAATTTCCGGTTTTGCCGTGGATCCCCAACGAGGGTTTGTGGTGGTACTGGTAGGCGGTCGTGATCGAGCCACCTATGCCGTCGTGTCGCCCAAGGACAAACAACGAGTACGGTCGCCGGAAGCACTCTGTTTGGTACAATTGGCCGGAGGAATGGATTTGGGAACGGCCGTGTTGCCACCGGATATTTTGGCAAAGTTGGTCGCCGAGGAAATTGAAGGATCGTCCGTGCGAGAGTTGCGACCTCAAATCACCTTGAAACGGGTCGATGTGGTGGCGTTTACAGGAAAGGGACAACGAGAGGAAGAACCAACCGCCACACAGTCAACAAACAACCCACAACGAGATGCCGCCATTCAAGAACAAGCGAGCAAAGTGACGGCAGCCGTACAAAAGCTACCCGGATTGGAAGAATGCACACAAGACCAAGTCGTCGATGCACTCCAAAGACACGCCAATGAAAAAGGATCGGTGGATCGCCAAGGATTCATGGCTCTCCTGGATACCCTACGGAGACAAATCAACGCCATGGAAACACCCCTTGTGCAATTCAATCTACTCGTTACTGTGAACAATAAAGAAGACGAGGAATTGGAGCTCGTCATTCCGGCCCCTTCCGCTTTCCTTGGCGTAGGACTCGCCTTGCGGTATAAAGTCGACGTGGTGGTCACGGAAGAATGCCAAGTGGCAGGGTTTGATGTGGTGGAAATTGCCAGCCGATTTCCCGCATTCCGGCCGATCAAGGAACTCTACGAAGATGCTAAAATCATGGATGGGTTCATCCCTTCCCTCTTCGACCAGGCTACTGCACCCGACAATGAGGACAAGGTATAAACATACGGATGATTTTGTTTATCAAATAATATCAAGAGAACTCAAGGCGGGTCCATTGGTCGAATGCCTATTCATTGCGCAACGAGTTCAAGTAGAGTGGTTGGGGTTTTCTCTTCCGCCACAGACTTCCCAACACCCAGTCAACCCATGCACGGTTCTATCCAAGCTAGCTAATAGGATATAGATTTTGTACAGCAATAAAGCATTGCTACCAGAGATGCATTACTGTGCGTCCTGACTGCCGCTAGCTATAGTAGAACCATCTAAACCAACCTAAATGCCCAATGGAGCCTTGTGCTTTCGCTCCGATTTGCGTGCCTTGCCACTGAACTTTCCTTTCCTGTGGCGCTCTTTCCATTTGTTACGACCAGCCGTGCTCTCGCCTGTGCCGTCTTGAGCACCCGTAAACAGTTTGCCTTCGGATTCACCCGTCTTTTGCTTCTTTGCCATCATTTGGGAGTCGTCCTCTCCGTCGTCGTCTTCAAAGAATTCCGCCAGACCATCCTCCTCCTCGGCACCGGCAACGTTGCCCAGGTCCACATCACCAGCGCCGTCAAATGCTTGCAATGGATCATTGTCGGTTCGTCGACCTCCATACACGCGAGCTTTCTTCCTCTTGCGCTTTTTGTTGAGTTTGGCAACCTGCATACCTCTTGGAAGCAAGTACTTTGGCACGTGTCTAGTAGGAAGGCGAAACCACCCAACAACGAAAAAGGATAACCAGAAAAGAAACGATAAAAGTTAGCCCCGAGTCGACAACAAGATGACGGTAATAACATCTATCTGCAAAGCAGACACTTACTTGAGATGCTCTTGAACCTTGGATACATGAGTCGCCACACGATCATGTCGCAAAAGTTGCAAATCGGTGGGATTCTCTTCAAAGTGATACTGTAGACGTTCGGAATTCAGAATCTCTGCCTTCAACTCGGCAGCTCTTGTCTCCTTCACGGCCATGCGTGTCACAGCTCGAGAAACATCTTCGACACGGTAACGAAAGCCCTCAATCTCGTGCAAATCAAAGTCCAACGGAGAAGGTTGTGGTTGCATTTGGGGTGCTGGAATGCCGGCCATGTCCTCTGGGTCTCCTTCTTTGGGAGCCGCCGGCTGCAATTGTTCCGTGGCGGACCCCAACACTGGTACATCGGGTTGATCTTCTTGCACCTTCTCCAGCATTTCCATTTGCTCATCGGATTCCATCTCCACCAGACTCAACGCCACGCCACTGGCACCACCTCGAGCCGTCCGCCCCACACGATGCGCATACGATTTGGCTGTTTGGGGAAAGTCAACATTCACCACAAAGGCGACCTTTCGAAAGTCCAATCCACGGGAGACTCCATATTCTGAGTCGCGCTTTTTGCTCCTTTTGGGGGCTTTCTTCTTCTTCTCGCCTTCGTCGGCATGGTTGTCATTGTCGTCTACTTCATTGGAATCCACTGTATTGGCAGCACTCTCATCCGTGGCAATGAGGTAATCAAAGTTCCCAACATTGTACTGTTCAATGATATTGAGTCGACTGTGAATTGGTAATTCTCCATTGAGGACGGAGGAACGTATATGGAATTGTTCCAGCAACAACTTGAGCCGGTATGCCGCATCGGTCGTGTTGACAAAGAACAACCCCTTTCCTCGCAGCAATCCCAACTTGAGAAAGACGTATATCACCAATCCCTTGTCCTTTTTCGGAAGACACAGATAGAATTGTTTGAGTTTTCGATTGACACCAACATCATCATCCTCTTCCAGTTTGAGAATGACGGGTGAATTGAGGAAAATCTTTTTGATCGAGTCGACATCTTCCGAGAGTGTCGCGGACATGAGGAATCCCTGATAAATCTTGGGCAATCCTCCAATAATTTCCCGCAGCGCCTTTTCATGTCCAAACGACAAGACCAAATCCGCTTCATCTACCACGACCGTCTCGACGGAGGACTTTAGTTCGACGGTTCCATTTTGAATATGATGGGCCAATCCCGTGGGTGTTGCCACGACAACATCGGGTCGGTCTCGTAACAGGGCTTCTTGTCGTGTCATTTCTTCTTTGGCTTTTTTCCCACGGCCGTGACTGCCGGACAAGGGAGCTAGTTTGATGTGTTCATTGCAGTAGTACATGAGTGCTTGCAAGACCTTGGTAACTTGACTGCACAATTCTCGTGTTGGTACCAAAATGACGGCGGAGATATCGTTGTTGTGGCGACTGCTGGAAGAGGATTGTTGTTGCTGCTCTAGTTTCTTGGCCAAAATTTTCTGTAGCAGTGGCAGACAGTATGCCAAAGTCTAAGAAAACAGTATTGGAATTTGGAAGAGCAAGATGGGGGTGAGAAGGCTACCCAAAACCAAGATGAATATGGATCCAAAGATTCCTTACCTTTCCACTTCCAGTTTTGGCTAATGACAATAAAAGATACCGACATGATCATAGTGAGATATATAGCTATCCTGCATGATTGCTGCAACCAATCCAATCCGAACTAACTAACTTACCTCGAACCATGAGATCCCTTCCGGACGAGAGTGCCAATGGTAGACATTTCGATTGCACAAGGGTAGGTCTAACCAGACCCATTCCAGCAACGGCTTTTCGAAGTCTCACGTCCAGTCCAACTTCGGCAGCCAATGAGGCAAAGGTCATCTCGGGATCCAGAAGCGATGACATGATTTATTGCGTTCGCTGGGGTATCTTTCCAGATTGAGCGAGCGGCTTTAGATATCCACAATGGCTTTTTGACGTTGAGCAATCTAGTTAACTTTGCCTACTAACCATATAGCACTCGGTGAGAGGTTTGAGGACAGCACAGTATGCGAAGAGACGAGGCTCATGAGATGGAACCTATTTGACTTCGCATGCAAAACGGCAAAAAGAAAGAAAAAATGAATGGATGGCTTTGAAGCCAACGAGCTCTGAGCTCTCCAAAATTTTAAATTTCTCCAGCTCCCGCACCATCACCGTAATGGTTCCGGTACGCTGTACCGAACCTCGGATCCAAAACATGCGAATAGGTGCGCAAGACTTTCTTTGATCTTGCTACGGTTGTACTACATATACACTGAACAACTTGGCTTCATGGAACAGAAGGTGTTATCGTGGGCTGGCTGGAAGAGCCAGATCGTTTATTTTATTGACCGAGACAAGCATTTGTTTGTGACTCTTGATTGTTGTCATTCTAGACACGCCAACCCTATATGGATGAATTTAGTCCAAGCCGTCTTATTATGAGTTATTCTGGTTGATGGGCCGAGACGATGCATTGGACCAACGCTTGGACCTTATACCCATTGACCTTATCTTTATGGCGTTTTACCATCGGTTCTCGGTTGTTGTTTGCTGCTGATCGTCGGCTTGGGGCCTAGTTTTCCCTCTTGCTTGGCCAAGAGACAAAGCTGCTTTTGGAAGGACCGGTTGGTCAAGACTCGCCCCCGCTTCTCGGACAAGGTACGCACCAATCTTACTAGTGGGGGATTGTTGTCGTTGTCGTCGTTGTCGTCATTGAGCAAGAGCATGGCGGCAGCGGCAATCAAAGCTGATCGATTGGAACCGTGGGCACAATGAACTAGAACTTTGGGCTGTTGATGTCGTCTTTTGGCACGTTCCATGAACTTTCCGCAGTCCTTCCAGTGGCTGCCAATCATGTCATACCCATCATGATCTTCCCCAGGCACTGCCTTGTGAAGTATTCCGTGCGACTTGTATTCCCTTGTCATGGCTTGTATCGACTCGAGAGGCATCCTATTGGTCGACAGGACGTGTGTAATGCCTTGATCTCGCAGCAGTTGTACTTTGCGAGCCGTGTGAAGGTCGCTCAAGTACAACCAGGGGAGGAGCTCAATAGGAAATTTGGGAGTCGACATGAACAGGTCCCCGTTTTCCAATATGTCGCGACAAGCTTCCATCCACGGCCGCAGCATTTCGTCGTTGTTGTCTTGGTCTCTTTCTTCTTCCTTGTCGTCCTCCTTGACACATACCAGCCAGCATCGTAAGAAGCAATCCTTCCATGTCATATCAAGAGGTTCGAGTTGGAATGTGAGAGTGAGAACAATCATTGAGAAAGGTGACAGGGGCTCGGGTTGAAACAACTCTGTAGAACGCTCAGTCGTGAATTCAATTTTAAAAAAAACAGTCACGGAAGGAAGTTTCCAAAAGATCCAAAGAAGCAAGTGCCCTTCGCTCAGAAGAGGGCAAGAGCCAGTAGACTCCTAATGCTACTTCTACAATCTAACTAAACTTTCTCCCACCAAACGATCAAATCAACATGACAAGCATGCCCGACACTGGTAATGGCAACTTACTTTGGACTCTTGGAGTGGCTGGTGTGGTGGTTGGGATTGGAGCCGCCTTGATGGGAGGACGGAAAGAAGACAAGAAGAAAGAAGAAGAGTCTTGGGATTCTCATGTAGGCAAAGAGCACGGTAGTTTGGAGGAAATCTTTCCGGAAAAGCTCTATCGCTTGGAAGCTCCTGGATGTGAATATGGTCCTCCCACACGCAACATGATTATCTATCGCATTCTTCCCTCCAAGCAGACAGAAGACAAGCCTCGTCTCTTGATCTTTAACGCCATTGCAGTCGGAGAACACGTCCTGCAAGATATTCTGCAATTGGGAACTCCCACTGTCATGGTCATCCCCAACGATATGCACCGATGTTGTGCCGCCGTCTGGAAGAAGCGATTCCCCGAAATTTCCGTCGTGTGTCCGCCCAAGGCCAAGCCAAAAGCCGAAGAGGTAGTGAACGTGAGTTGTCGATTGCTGCAAGAATTGGCCATGGAACCAGAGTGGATGGATTGGATCACGGTGCGCCATATCGATGGATGGGTGGAATTTGAAGATGTCCTAGAAGTCAAATTGAGTGATACCAAAAAGGCCATGATTGTGTGTGATTTGCTCTTTACCATTCCCTATCAACAAGATTCGGGCATGGGAGGCAAGTTCATTCAGTGGTTGTTCGATTCGAATGTGGACAGCAGCAATAACGACGACAATACCCAATTGACCATTCCCAAAGTATCACGAGTTGCCAGAATCTTTGGCATTGCCGATTGGAAAAAGGCGGAGCAATGGTATCGAAACTACGCGGACCAGTCCGTCTATGCCATTCTAGTGGGGCATGGTCCTCCAGTCGTAGAACTGGATGCCACCAAGGGATGCACAGACGCCTTGGTGGGGGTGGCAGATCAGCTCGTCAAGCCAAGGTGGTAGCAAACTGAAGTACATGTACCTGCAGTTCTCTATATAGAAAAGGACCGATGTACGTAGCGAGAGCGACTGGAGCACGTTTGGTTTGATTCTGCACCTTGTATCTACCATGGCCAATGCATCCTACTAGTTTGTAACAGGTACCAGTATAGTGGCGTTCTTGTTGGTTTTAGAAACGTAGCTATCATCTATGCCTAACAGCAAGGGCCACCTCGATCTTCCAACAAAGAAAGACTGGATATCGCCCAAGACAGCTCAAACGCCACAGGGATTGCATGCACTCCGATTACTCCAATGCCTCCGTGGTTTGTCTCCTTGATGCATCCCGTTGCGAACATGTTGCTAACAGTGTCATGCAAATGAACTGCTGACTTCCAAGCACACAACTTCTTGGCGAAAGCAGTGATCTCGTACTGTAGAACGCGCTGTCCTCGCAGCAGCTTTATCGACGCTCCAGCCAGAAATGTGCTGATTAATACAAGAGGAACACGAGGTATGCCTGAAGCAAACTGGTTGAGAAGGCGCCGCTGATGGGCTAACCGAGGGAGCATCTTCTGCCTCAAGCTCCAAAACAATGATGGCGAATGCAATCGATTCATCATTCTGCTTCAATCGATTGAACCATGAAGTCAGGGGAGGGTACTGAGTGGATTGCGACCGCACGCAGCGTACCCAAACGGTATCCGGGAGACGGTCCCTTCCACACGTTCGAGGCTCGCCTACTAACGAACCTCCCGATGCAACCCGAGGCCGACGACCGCCCCTCATGTACCAAAACGTCCGCCCTGGTGCGCTACGTTTCTTGGTTGTGGTCAGCGGTATAACCAGGGAAACTACTTCAAAGTTGCTGCCGAAGAGCGAAGAACCACGCACGACACCTAGCTAGCAAACATAACCACTGCACCTACTACGAGTAAGGTAGTCTATGTTTACATATCAAGTGACTGTCGCTTCTCAATGCGAAGTGGAACCCCATCCTTTGGGTATGGCAAAATACCCTGCAGTCGCAATTCCAACTTGAAGTCTGGGACGGGGAGAACTTTTAGATGTTTCAATACATTGGCCAAGACAATGACCGCCTCCTGCAAGGCAAATTTTGCACCAGGACAGGATCGTCCTCCTGAAACATGAAACAGACAGTTTTCATATTAGAAGCAATCTCCAAGATAATAGGATCGCACGAACGGAAAGCAATCTTGCGTCACCGCACAAGCAGCGCACTTACCAGCTGAAAAAGCAAAAAAGGCATCTGGATTGCCCGCAGGAATGCTTCCCTTCGAAGGTTCCGCATCCACCTTGTATGCTCGTTCCTCCCACAGTTGACCATTGTTAGCAGAGGAACTACTAGTACTTGACACTCGCTGAGCCCAACGCTCTGGATGGAATTCATCTCCCTTGGGAAAGATGGATTCATCTCTTTGCATGACAAAGATGGGTACGTTCATGTGAGTGCCAACCTGGGCAACATAGCCACTCGCCAGCTGAAGAGGCTTTGTAAGCGTCCGAGCGACAGTAAACGCTGCCGGGTATAGTCGCAGAGCCTCTTTGATGACCCCCATGCAATAGCAGAGTTCATCCGCATTGGACAAGTCAGATCCATTCTTGAGTAAGGACTGTACTTCTTCCAAGCAATTATTTTGAATGTCGGGATAAATACTCAGCGAGTGGAGCACCATTGTAAGTGTTGTGCTGGTTGTGTCGTACGAGGCAAACAGAAGTGTCATCATGACATCGGAAAGGGCATCGTCAAGAGCTTTGGCATCATCATGCCCCTTGGCCTTGTTGATTTCATGCACAGCAGTCAGCCTTTCCACGAGATTCTGGTGTTTGGAATTGCCATTGGTAGAGGCAGCTTCACCATTCTCGTTGGCAATATATTCCTTTTGGGCTTTGGTAAGTAGCTCACCAACAAAGCCACGTAGGATCCCGCAGTTTTCCAGGTGCAGTTTGTTCTGCTTGGTGGGAAATATGTTGGGAAACAGATTCCAAGGAAGGACAGGGCTTTTCATGCGTATTGTCAGGTCTTCCGTAAGCAAATCAAAAGCCTTCACCACTGGTGATGATTGCAAATTCTTGCAGCAGTCAAAGTCAACACCAAAACCAGCTTTCCCAATTACATCCATGGTGACCATTTTCATGAGTGGGTGGATATTATCAACTTGCCAGACTTTGTTCTCTGTCTCATCAATCCTTTTAATGATAGCCTGAGTGAGATCTTGGGCGACTTGAAAGACGTCTTTTTGCGAGTGCAACAAGAAGGAAGGCACAAAGGTCCTCGCGATGGCGTCCCTGTGGATTCTCCATTCCCTTCCGTTCAGTCGAATCAAGCTCTTTTCACCAAGGATGAAGGAAATATACCTGGCTACAACAGGAATAGTTTCTCGATTGGATTCTCGGAGGAAAACCTTGCGCGCATCTTCCACTTTCAACACACCAATGACTTTCTTGTTGCCAAACCAATATCCGACGAGCCCGTCTTTGTTGGCACTATCTCGATTGACGGTGTATAGGTTCTGCGGAAATTTATTTGCGTCAAACAGCATCTTGACGTGGCCAAAAAACCAGTGACTTTGGGGAGGCATGGGCAAATCTGGGAAGGGTTTCTTGGCTTCCAATAGTGTGCGGTAGTGATTCCACAGCATGTAAAGACCGATGGGTAGCAAAACGATTGCCAGGGTAGGCACCCCCAAAGCTTCATCTGAAAAGGAGAACGCCATGATAAACCAACAGCAGTTACTGACTGCCTTTGTGACGACAACAACAACAACAACAATAATCCATACCGATAGATGCTCTCTTGAAGCGACCGGTAGTGTGGCAAAGCGCTCTTGGGATGATGAGGTGGTGCGTGAAACCGAGATGGCAAGTTGAACCGATGAAAAGCAACGGCGACTTGAATGAGAAAGAAAGGTTTGAAGACATTCATCCGTGCATACCAACGGCCAAAGGTGCGTCCTTGAACTGAAAGTGACGCGCAACTTTACCGTTTCCGTTTGGTCTCCCCTTTCCCAAGACACGTCAAGAAGCTTGTTTGGACTATCAAGCATCCAAACTGGCTTCTAAATCTCGAAAAGAGTGACGCTCTCCAGACCGTGCTCGCTCTGGAGGTTAAAATCGACCTCTCCGAGCTTCAGTAGTCGCCGGGGTGTGGAGCGGCAGACTCGCCATCTCAAGAGTTTATGCTTTGGAGGGAGCCACACCGTCCAGATGCTGCTCCGACCAGCCGGGCAAGGTGGACTCTATCCCTGGTGCTGCGCCGCAGGACAGCACTGCACTCGTTATGTAACCGCCTGGCTGTTGCACCGTCGACTCGATCTAATCAATCCATCCCGCAGGTAGTGTTTGTGAGGGTTGTCTTATTGTAGTACTTGATCAGGTCCCTTTGCTTCCAAGCTACGTGCTGAAGGAAAAAGGCTGGAAGGGACCGTGAGGAGGAAGAGTTGGCAGCCAGCTGGCCCACACGATGGATCACCAACCGACTCGCAACAGTGAGGAGGCGAGGAGGAGATCAGGGAGTGGTGTCGATCCATCGAGGGGGCCGCCAACTGCTACGGGCAATCTACGTAGATACAGTACTGAAGAGTTTAGTGAGGAGGGTCAACCAAGTCCTGATCGTCGAATTCTTGCCATCACAGACGACAACATGAATGATGATAGTCTTTCCTTTCCGACTGCTAGATCATACTCATGGGAGTCTCAGAGCGATGGCGAGGACCGTGGTGCCGCTGGGGGAAGAAGCTCAGCCACGCGCCGAGATCAGCGCAAATTTGACATGACAACACCCACCTTGATTGATGAGATGGACGATATTGAAGAAGAGGAAATGATACGTCTCCAGAGAGCCACGAGGTTTCGGGAGGAACAACAACGGACGACTACTAGTACTACTGCTGCAGGTGGAGTGACAGTCATTAAGGATGAGTCCTCTTTGAGGCGAACGCCTGGGGCAAGCATGTATCAGTCCAGTATGCCTGAGGAACAGATCCATGGGGTTTCGATGAGGAGAACACCTGGGCCTCCTGAAATGCTCCGCTCAGCTGCACCAGGGACTAGTACCACACCCCACCAACACCACCAGGAACAAGTAGACGAGTCTGGTCTGTTGGGATTTGGACTGACGCTCTCAACACCAGTTGCCAGCACAAACAGGGCCAGAAGTAGTGAACCAGGAGATAAGTGGGACAGGGCATCCTCTGTTTCATCTCAATCCACACCCCCTAGAAACAATCAATCCACTGCCGACAGCATGGCGTCACAGCAGACGAGTAGGCCTCCCAGGGCACCAGGGATGCCCGCGCGTCCGCAAGAAAGACAACAACAGCCACAGCAGCAACCGGGAGAGTTCACGTTCACTCCATGGACAACTCTAGCCAAAGGGACGCCTTCACAATTTGAAAGTAGATACGGGGCCTGCTCACCCAACACAATGAGGCTGACAGAAGATCTGGGAAATCTTTTATTTGATGAGGAAGATAGCTTTGACCAGGGAAACCAGCAAATCTTTCGGGGACCTGCTGATCAACAAAAGGCAGCAGACTCTGGGGTAGGCGATCATCAGCGAGAACCAACAGCGGAAAGTTGGACATCTTCGTACATTTTTAAAAGCGAACATGTTGGGGACATTCCATCGAGGGTTCCGCGAAGTTCCGTGGGTAGGGGGGGTCGAAGGGGCAGGCATGACACCACTAGTAGACGATCCAGAGGGCATGGCTCGAGGCATACTAGCGAGGATCACGGGCACCAGCAACAACAACAGGTCGCCTCCTTTCTACCATATGCTCAACAACCAAAGCCTGTGCGAACCATGCATCCTCCATCGCTGGGAAATCCTTTCTTGTCGGGCGGTTTTGATTCTTCGAATGCCGGAGCATATATACCAAAGGACAATCCTGGACAACAACAACAACAGCAACAACAACAGCAACAACAACAGCAACAACAACAACCACCACCTAGGTTTTTCTTTGGAGGCGCATTTGCACCGCCAGCGAAAGATGGTAACGTTGGTTTCAGACCTCCTGCCCCGGCACCAGCGAGGCCACAGCGATCGGGAAGCGCCGATAGAAGTAACTTGTTTTCCAACCAGCCTCAGGTTCACCATTTTCCGAGAAGGTCACCACAAAGCTTTGCTGACACCCGTCAGTCTGCGAGCGGCGGTTTCCAGAGTCACTCCTTTCAGCCTCTCCCGGCTATGGCTGCTCGCTCTAGAGAATCGCCGTTTCAATATCAGTTTCCGTCTCCAAGTCCTGTGAACTCACCACCACCTTTTGGATTCCCGTCACCCAATCCGTTCAACCAACCTCCGCCCGGAATGCAAGCTACGGCTCGTGCCCACCATCCTACGCCAATGCAGCCCAGCAATAACGCCCCACCTCAGGTTCAGTCATCATCCGCTCATATGCAGCGCCCCACGGCAACGCAGCCGACAGCTCACCCTCCACCACAGCAGTCGGCTAGTCACGCTCAACGCGTCAAACCCATGCAGGCAACAGCACATGAGTTCTTTCCCATGACTACCCCCACACCCGAAGATAGGCCCGTCATGCCACAGTTCTCTCCCCAGCAGAGCTGGCCAGGGGCTGCGCCTGCCCAGTATGGTTCTATGCCTGTGACGAGCCACGGAAACTGGCCAGGGACTGCCGCATGGCCTTCGAGTGGTGACTACGCTTATGTTGTACCGGTCCCTCAGCCTCAGCCTCCAAGGGCAGAGTCTCGTTCTGGACCCTCTCCAGCACCATCTCAAGCTTCGGCACACGGCGCCGACAGGCCACCTCAACCAAGCCCCAGCATTGTAGCATCTTCGCCGTCGCCTCGGCTGGAGTCTTCGCATCCCGTTGCTTCGAGTCCATCGCCTGTATTGAGCGCACCGAGTCCTGCACGTCAGCAATCGGCCCAGCAGCAGCGGCAAAAGAGCTCCCGGAAAGGACAAGGACGTCGTGGGTCCAAGCAAACCAAACCCGAAAAGCAAAAGAAGCCTGAAGGTAGTACCGCGGCGGCGCCTGCAGCTGTCGTTCCAGCCAATCCCCGCAAATCGACACCCGTGAACACCGGTACAACGTCGAGCGCCGGAGGAACAAGCGGTGGCAACATCAAAAAGAAGAAGAGTGGTAGCAAAGGGAGAGATAGTCAGACTCCAGAATTGACGGCCACTGCCAGTGTTGCTTCGTCGCCAGCGCCAACACCGACGCCCGCAACTACGTCTACTGTCGCCATTCCGGCAAACGATCCGCAGGCTGCAGAAGAAACCACGCTTTCGGCTTCCGAGGAGCAAGCAGAATCGAAGCGATCAGAGCTCATTGAAAGCCCCGCAACACGCTCGGCCTTTAAAGATTTCTATCGCCGTTTTCGTTCTGAGGAGCGTTCGTCTTTTCAGGGAGCGGAAGGCTTTGCGATTCAATCCTTGGGCGACGGTACTTTGCCTGAAAAGGTGCATTGGCGTGTCTATCTAGAGCTCGCGGACCTTGCGAAGCGCTCGAATCGATTTGCTGATGCTCGTCGGCTCTATCAGCAAGTGTGTCAGCTGCAGCCGTATGCGAGCCAGGGTTGGCTAGAATATAGCAAACTGGAGGAAGAATGCGGCCACCTCAACCGTGGGGCACGAATACTGCGTGCAGGATTGGAGTACTGCGAATACAGCGAGAACTTGCTGACTCGTGCCATTAAACACGAGGAAAAGATGGGAAACCTGGGACGAGCTAGAGAGTTGTTGGCTCGACTAAAGCACGTGGGCATTGAGAAAGTTTGGCGCACAGTGTTGGAAGGGGCGTTGCTTGAGGCGAGAGCTGGAAATGCCGTGATGGCCCGCCGTGTGTTGAAATATTTGATGCATCACGTTCCCTGGTACGGACCTCTCTACTTGGAAGCCTACCGCCTGGAGAGAGACCTAGGGCGAACGATTGAGGCCCTACGTGTTGTCGAGCGCGGTCTTGCGGCGATTCCGCGTTACGGGCCGCTTTGGTTTGGTGCATTCCGCCTCTGCGAGGAAATCGACATCACCGAGAAGCAATACCATTTGCCCAGGACGATGGCAATGATCGATCGCGCGACGTTGAGTATTAGTAAGGAGCTCATTTGGAAAGTTCATCTAGATGCGGCTCAGATGCTGGAACGGGCCACTCTCGACCAACGGTCAGTTACCCACGATCCCTCCACCAACAAGGAATCGGATTATCCGGCGTCTACCTTGGCACACTGTCGCAATCGTTTTGCCATGACGGTCCTCAACTGCCCACCCAACTTGCGCTGGAAAGTTTGGCTTGCAGCTGGCAGATTGGAAATTGCCATTGGCAACATCAACAAAGCTCGCAAACTGTTTCTACGTGCGCATCAGGTGGTCCCCGAAAAGGGGCGTGCAACAACTCTATTGGAATGCGCCAGGCTGGAAGAATTCAGCGGAGATCTCGGTCTAGCACGAGCCATTCTTTGTCGCAGCAGAGTTGACTACGGCACCGACTGGAAGGTGTGGCTAGAGAGTGTGCTCTTGGAAATCCGAGATGGTGACCACGAAAGAGCCATTGAGCTCGCCAAAGGGGCGCTCGAAATGCATCCAGGGACGGGACGACTTTGGGCTGCCTTGGTACAACTTCGATTCTTTGAAGGGGAAGAAGAGGCGCAGTTTCTGTCTCTTCAGCAGGCCTTGAATGCAGTCCCTAAAAGTGGGGAAGTGTGGTGCGAGGGAGGTAGAATCCACTTGAATCCCTTCTCCCGAACCTTCAATTTGGAACGTGCGAGGCGTCACCTCTTCTTTGCGACAAAATTCACACCTCAATACGGCGACAGCTTCCTCGAATCTTTGAGGCTGGAGTTGGTTGAGCAGTGGATTGCACCAATCGCAGATTTGATCTGGATGACGTCAAAAGGAGCAGTTCTGGATTCTGAGGAAACAGACTTCCACAATCAGCTGCAAGAGTACTTGCTACGACTTTTCGTGGCGCTTGTTGCTTTTTGCGGAGAAGGCACCACAACGAAGGAATCGAACGCTGATGCGAGGCTGCGCGAAATCATTGATAGCCAGACACTGCCACAGATTATTGACCTGTTGGAAGCTGGCTACGAAAGTGCCTCGGTAGACTTGGCCGATTTGGAACTGCGTTGTGCCAATGCGGATCCCAACTATGGCTTGCTGTGGTTCCACTGCCGCCATGGCCCAACGGACACCGCGCGGAAGATTCTCACTCGAGCGACCGACAAGGTTGTCTCTGAGCTGCGCAAGTTCGTTCCGATATACATCGTAGCGCTGGTTCGCTATGCTGCCGTCACTGGCATGATGGACACGGAAAAACAATCTGAGGACGATGCTGCTTGGGAGGACCGCGTCGACGAGATCCTTCTGGCAGCACCGTCGCTCCAGGAAATTCTGAAAAAAGATGACATTGTAGAGAAGAACCAGGACGGAGGCGTGTTGTTTTTGGAAAACAACATAGCCGGATCCACTTTTTCCACCGGGCTGACTGAACTCAACAGACTTCAGCCCGTAGGGGAGCTTTCATTGAACGACAGGAGAAAAGCATTGTTCGGGACTGATGCACTCTTTTCGTGAAGTACTAAATTTTTGTTCTTGCTACAATTACTAAAAGCTGACAAAATGAAATTGATTTTAGGCTGCTGGATTGAAATGCCAAGCTGCCTAAAAGGGGTGATAAATGATAGACTTGTCTGCGTCTAACCAAAACCATAGATAGCTAGCTTGCCTCCCTGATAGAATACCATCTATGTATTTGATTAGACCTCTAGTAGCTAGTTAGCAAACAACGTAAAAGTACATGATGTAGCAGCTACCAGCGGGAAAGAAAGGAGCTCAGTCTCATCGTTTGCTTGAGTGTCCAAGGAAACAAAGGCAGGCTGTAAACGTCGATCGGGCAGCTCAGATGGCTGATTGCTACTGGGGGATGGAATGATCAATCGAAATCGAAACCCTCCGTCTCCGTCTGCAGCCGAGCCATAGTCGCCCCTTTCCTGGAATAATGTCGAGCCAAAATGATAGAGAGACAGGAGCAATAGCATCACGTAGGACTGATGGGAAAGCCACCTTAAAAGATCTTGGACGCAAGGCAAGAGCCAGGCTGGACGAGGAGAAAGGGAAACGACACGAAATTGTACGGCTGGAGCCGTCTTTGGCCAACCCAGAAGCGAAGAGGAAGAGGAACAGCAGTATTGGTTTAATTCGTCCAAAGAAAAAGCAATCAAAACCAACCACAAAGAAAAGAAGGATATCTGGCGCTGCATCATCGACGAAAGGAAGTGGCAGCAGCACTGCAAACAGGAGTGACAAAAGCAAGAACGTGGATCTGAGGATTCCTGATGTGAGTGGGATTCTATTGGAGAATCAAGAGAAGGACCTCTTATCTAATGTTGTCCGAGTCCATGGCATCCCACTGGATGCGACACGAAGCGATGTTCTTCGTTTCTTTTCTGGATTGGACGCGGAGCACGTCTTTTTATTGCCTCACAACAGCTCTAAGATTGTTTCATTAGATGCTGATGATTGCCCCTCTTCCAAAGCAAGGAAGGAAGTTATAGAACGGCATCCAGGTACTTTTCGTGCCTTCGTCAAGTTTGCATCTGCTCCAACAGCCGCTTTGGCAGCTCAGCGCTCAGGAGAGACCCTTTATTTGGGCAACAAGACTTCAAACAGTGACGGTGACGGCCACACCTGCAATCGAAAGGGTGCGCAAATTGCAGTGACCCAAGTACCCAAAGCTGTCACCAGATACATCCAAAGAAACATGGTACGTCTGTGTGGCATTTAAAAACCGATTCACTTTGTCAACGTGGTCGTCCTTACCCCATGTGCACGTTTCTGCGTCTGGTTTCTAGTCAATCGAATGTCGAACCAACTTACCTCTCGATGAAGAGCTCTTTGCTTGTGAAGCCAAACTCAATGACCTCGTGCCTCAAATCCTATGGTCAGCTGCTAGACAGGATCTAAAGCTTCAGGAGATATCTCCTGCTGACGAGGACGACAGGCTTGATTATCATCCCATTGATGACAGCCAAGGCCTTCTGCTCCAAGATCCTTCAACGGAACATGGCTACACTGCTCTGGTGGATTTGCACAATGCAATGCTCAAGGACTACGAATCTCTCACAACAGGCACACCATTTCCATCAGTTGCACTGTGCAATTCTTCAGAGCTCCTTCGAGATCCATCTATCAAGTTGACAAATACGGCAGCAAAGCATCTGAAGGAGAGAATCCAGCATATTGACGACTACCTCCACATGGCGCGCAACCTGCTTAACAGACGCCGTAACGGAGCTCCGCCCAGCATTTTTGACAGTCTTGTTCCAAGAAAGGCAAGCTTTAAAGGAGTGACCCAAACCTTGGGTGGATCGGGCAGCTGACATATCTGGCCGAAAGTTCCATAATACAAATGCCATAGCACCGCTGGTGGCTCTAGCTCGACGCGATCTCATAGTATACTAGGACCTTTCCCCTGCTTGTCCCACCGCCCACCGATAGGATAGCGACATCCTGTACCAGTATCGCCCAGCTAAACCACCGTAGTCTGAAAGCTGGCTGATAGCTCCGTGGTGCCTAACGTACTTGCATTGGCGTTCTTCTATTTTTTACAGAGCACCGGTACGGTCTGTAGTGGCACATCAGCAACCCACCAAGAGACGAGTGGTCACACATTCCGAGGTCCTGCCATCATTCCGTGTGGTGCGGCATCGGTGTACAGTACAGTGCCAATACTAGCTAGTACCAGGTACCGGTAGCCTCTGCGGAACTTGCTTCCGATCTTTGAGTACCGCTTCGGGTACCGATTGGCAGACGTGCTCTTTCGTCATCCAAAAGTCACAGGAACTCCACAGAAAGCACACACGCAGCGGCGGTTTGAACTTTTGATGAGTGGACCATTCCAAAGAGCGAACAGACCTTGTGGTACGGAGTAGTAACAGATCTCATCATTCATCTTGACACCAAAGCAAAAACTTCAAACCAGCTATCGGTGGTACATTGCCTTTTGCACCTCATAAAAGGAGATAGCCTCAAAAAGAAGCGACCAGCTGCTGTCGAGATACCCAACAGCCAATCCAATCCGGCGCCCCTCAACCTACACCTCCCAAGCACTCCCTCCAGCTACAATTGATACATCAGCACAATGGCCTCCTCTTGGTCCTCGAATGGTGAAACTGCCATGCGCCATCTAACTGCCAAAATGGAAACTGTCCGCATTCCTTCTGAATCAGATATAAATGCCATGGTAGATGACACTCCCGCACAACAGCAGCAGCAAGTATCACCACCCAAACAACCACCTCGCAACCCCAATCAACGCCCCTATGATGTGGTAGCTGAAGCAGGTCCCCCGGCAGATCCAATTGTCTTTCCACAGCCTCGCATCTTAAGAGGTCGTCGTGGAGAGGTATGCTGCTATAACCCCAAAACCCAAGACCATGAAATGGCCAAGAATGTGCTCTTCCGTGACTTTTCCCGAGAATTTGAAGATGGCGACGCCAGAGTCACAAGGGCGTTTTGGCCAGTGCCATTTAAAAAGCCCATTCGGACTATTATGGGGCACGTGGAAATTTGCATGGTCTTGACCAGATCCAAAGGTGATGACGACAAGAATAGTAACAATTTTGATGATAGTAGCAGTGAAGAGGAAGAAGACGAAGATGACATCATTTTTGAACTGACAGAAGAAATGGTTGCTGTCAAGGTCAACTACTCACAACGGATGGAAGAATTGCGGCATCGTCATGCCGAAGATCCCTTAAAGGAAATTGCTGCCATGCAAATTATCGGAGACCAACACCCCAACGTTATGGGATGCATTGATGTCCTTTTTGATGGCAACGCCCTTAATGTTGTCATGAGTTTCTGTGGATCAGGGGATTTATTCCAATTGTTGCAGAACAGCGTCAGGGAGGATGACCAGCCTGGAATGACCGAGACACAGGCCAGGTACTGGTTCCGACAAGTCATTGCTGGTGTCAAACACATCCACGATGTGGGGATTTGTCACCGGGATTTGTCTCCTGAAAACGTCATGATTGATGGAAGTGGTGCCTTGATTATCGACATGGGTATGGCTATCCGCATGCCATACACTGACAGTGCCAATGCAAGTTCTGTGACAGACAGGAGCCGAGGCAGTCAACGGCGGATGATTAGACCACAAGGTGCTTGTGGAAAGTTGCCATACATGAGCCCTGAGGTTTATCGCAACAAACACCCCTTTGATGGAGAGGCTGTAGATGTCTGGACTTGTGGTACAATCCTATTTTGCATGGTGACAGGCAACCGTTCCTATCAGCGTCCTCATCCAAGTGACCCTCAATTTTATTGGATGACCAGGGGGCTCACCCAGCTGCTTGGTGATTGGAGTGTGCAGCTTAGCCCTGAAGGACTTCACTTGCTCCAGAATATGCTACAAGTGGACCCACGCTTGCGACTGTCTATTGAAGAGATTGAGAACCACCCTTGGTTTTCACACGAGGACGTGCCCCAAGATGCCGATGACATGGAGTTTCAGTTGTAAAAGTAAAAGTGAAAAAAAATCAACTACTCAGAAAGATAGTTCTAGCTAGTGGTGCATTGGCAACAGAGCAACGTCCAAAAACTAGTTATAGGGTTGGCACCGGCAATAGGACAACTTAGTTCTACTAACTCCCAGTACCACATATATTTATCGTGACAATGGCAGATTGTGGTCAAACTCGACAGAAGTCGTGTGTTGTTGCGTCGGAATGAGAGTTCTAATAGATCTTTTCGATGTCGTCCTCTGTCATGTCAGGTAAAATTTTGACTTCTCCATCACAACCTTCCATTACGTTCAGAACTCCTGGAAATTAGAAGAAATGAACAAAAAAACTTGATCAGAACATCTCTCATGCAACTCAAAAAGCAGCCTCCGATCTCTTTCAATTTGTCTTTTCGTTTCATACCGTTCTTGTGCATGGCGGCGCGCCCTTTCTTCATTCCAGAGGTGTTTTCGCTGCAATAATAAAACTTGACAAATCGTCCCTTCTTGTTGAGGCGGCATCCACCGAATATAGGCTCTCCGTCTGGAAGTTCCTTGGCAGCTGCCTCCAAGCCGCCGGTTCCTTTCTTGATGACGCCAATATCTGTCTTGCTTCCACCTATATACCCAGCAATCAACCAATCAACTTCGTTGTTGTTGTTATCTCGGATCTTTTCCCAAGCTGAAAGAAAGCGTAATTTTAGATAGTGCAAAGCAGAATGGTCGAATTAGAAGGCGGACATGTCAGAAGGAATATCGAGTAATGAATGTAATGTCGGAATCAACCCAGGATGCGAGCAACCCACCAAAATGAACTTACTCTCGGAAATATCTGGCAACGGGTTGACACCGCTCTTTTTGGTTTGCCCACCCGACCTGGGATCTGTCTGAAGCGTTCCTGCGATAATTGGCACGTTAGACATGGTGGAAGGTTGCGGGGGACTCTAGCTAGCTCGTACAGCAGTGGCTTTTAAATAGTGTGGTATTTGAGTCGAGTCTGTTCTGGATCTCGGCCATGGTCGCTGGCTGCCAGCATCATATCAAAGATCGTTCTGTATCCGTGACTGTTTCACTCGACTCGACTCGTCACTCAATTGATTCAAGTCAAGTCGAGTCGAGTCGAGTCGAGTCGAGTCACTCGACTGAGCCAAATAAAAGGTCGCACATATTTTCCATGCTATAGTGAACAGTGAAAACAGAGACAGGAAAAGCTGCCAACTGCTCATTGTATGTTGAGTGATCGGTCTTGATGATTGGTTTGTTCTCTGGTCTCTGGTGCTTGAGTGGGAGTTGCCGTTTCGTACTTCCGCAAAAATGGGGGAGATGTTGTATTTGAAGTCAATCTAATTTGACTGTGTTTACCTCATCTATCTCTTGGGCTCGACTGCGCGACTAGCGAAAAGCCACAAGGGAAAATTCATGGGTGGCGGCATCGCACACAGCAAAGTTGGTTGGTCTGCTTCCGGCAACATGGACACAAACGCAGGTGTTCTCTATGCGGAAGCCCCCCTTCTGAGAAGAAACTGTAGGTTTTGACTTGACATGGCAAGCAACACATGGCAACTTGATCTGGCTGAGAACAGTTGCAGTTTGCATGACATGGATGTTCCCTGAGACAGAATGTTACCGCGATTGGCTGGACCTAAACTGCTTGAATAGCAATGCTTGTAATAGCTCTTGTAATGCAGGAGCTAATGCAGGGTTTCACTCAAGACAGGTGGCAGGTTTCGGGACCTGACTTTTACCTAGAGCCAGCTAGATACGGTAGCAAGCCACCCAGCTATGCATACCGGTATGGCATGGGTAGCCAACCAGCAAGCCGCTGCTGGAGCACTCCGAGCATTACAAGAGATAGACGAGAAGCCTTCTCAAACAGCCAGCTGCAATTGCAAGCATCCCTTCGCTGAAGAGCAAGTCTGAACTGCACTTCTTCAGCAGCTTATGCTTGCGCTCACGGACGTACGGAGTACGTAGTCTTGGAAACTTTGTGTCACCTCTTCTATCTTGATGAATCATTACTATTTTTTTGATACTTGACGTCATCGCCAGAAGCACTCCGACAGCTGGCACGCTGATGAAGGATTGGAAGAATGAAAGAAAGGATTCGAAGCTAGCTAGCAAAAAAGTAACCCGGCAAGTGTCAACAGTCAGATCTGTTTTGTGTTTTTGCTTTCTCGTTCAGTTCCCTGCACTTCGGGTTCCATAAAATTTCCTCAAAAATAGACCTCTACGTGGAAAGCACGTGAGACGAGGTACTCAACCCCCCGACCCAACCCCATCAAGACAACAGTTCTTTGTTGTCTTTTGTTCATCGCCTCGTCGAAAGAAGAGTATGCACAAGACCTGTTTCATTGGTTTCGCCTCCACCGTCGTCTTCATCAACTTTATACTTTCCACTGATGCCTTTTCGGTGACGCCGCCCCCCCTTCTCCAGCGCCTCGTGGCGACTCGAGGAGGGGGCATCCACACTGACGTTTCTTTCTCACTACATGTTTTCAGCAACAGCAACAATCACGACGACGGCGGCGGCGATGAAGACGTGTTTGATGTGGAGCAGGCTCGCAAACGCCTCGAAGGATTTTGGATGACTGGCGGCGGCGGAGAAGAATCCTTTTCGTCGGAATTGCAGCAACAGACGATGGAACGTCCTACTATTCGATCTCCCACGTACAGTCCTGCGCCGCACAAAAATCCCGAGTTGGATGTGGTGATTCCTCCGGCGCCTCCTTTGACGACCATTGAACGAGAACGCCGCGAAGCGGAGATCCAGTTGCTCGGTCAACTTGTGGAGGGTGACGAGAGTGTCACGGATTTGTGGACCTTGTGGTTTTCAGAACGCGGCAGTGACGCTGCGCAACAATTGGTGAGGGCCGAAGAACTCACGGGAGAAGGTCCCTCTGGATGGCAGAGGGCGGAAGAAATTCTGCGCGATCTCATTGAAGAACACGGCGTGTACTGGGTCGAACCCGTCAATCACTTGGCTACCTTGTATTACATGCAAGGACGTGTCGACGCCGCGGAAACTCTCTGCCAAATTGTGTTGGCCGTCAAACCTTGGCATTTTGGTGCCCTCAGTTCCATTGTCATGATTTATGCGGCGCAAGCCAATTCCGAAAAGGCTCGTTTGTGGGCGGCCAGTCGACTCCCCGCCTTTGCTCCCAACGGGGCCAACCGCAGGAGGATTGCGTGGGCCGAACAGGCGGTTCTTTCGGCCAAGGAGTCCTTTGTGAATGCGGAGAAACGAGTTCAGGATCTTTTTGGAGAGCCCGATGATTACAGTGTCGAACAGCAGACGGATATGTGGGATGATGATGCCTGGCAGTGAACTGTGGCTCGAGTCAAGTAGTCAACAACAACAAGAAGATCACTGAGGTTTTGTGTATCGGTTCCCATGTCGGCGCAAGCAACCCAAAGAGACAACGAAATCACAACCATGCTACTAACTGTGTGATGATTGATTGCAGCCGATTCATATTACAAACTATATCGCGAACATACACTGTACTTTAGGAACTTCATACATAATAATACATCCTATTGATTACACCGGTACCGTAGTAGAAACAATCTGCTTTAGTTAGTTCATCGGAAGGGTCTGTAGCTAGCTAGCTAGCAAGTTGATCAAGGAATCCAATCCATAGCACCAAAAGATACCAGGTACCTTTTGACGTTTTGACATCATGAGAACCCATCACCGGTACTGGACCAGCCGTCAGCTACAGATTCCCATCAGCAACCGGAACATTCCTGGGTTGGGATAGGTGTTGGGATACCCCATCCCACAAAATGGCAACATTACGTCCCTCAAAGGGCAAGATTTCCATTCGGAATCCAGGATGCTTCTGCAGCAGAAATTGACAAAACTGCTCATGCGTCCGCACATGTATACTCGGACCGTCTGGTTCCATAACCACCGTGCGGTCGGGAAAGAAGCTGGGAAAGACGCAGCAAGGAACCACCACAAAGGGTTTTTGATATTGCAATGCCGCATCAACAATGGCCTCAGTGGCACCATCCGCGTGGAGTCCGATTAATAGGGTAGCATTCTGCACGGCTTCCTGAATTTCAGCATCTTCCACGAGGGTTCTGTCATCGAACGTAGTGACGAGCTGCCTTACTCGTTCCTCTACTTTTTGTCGTACAAAGTCTGGATTGTCCGCACGTTGATCTTCAATGCGTTTTTGCCATTTATTGGGAAGTCTTGGTAATACTTGTGTATCAAAGCAATTGGCAATATCGGCCTGCCGAGGGTCCACCATGACCACTCGCTGTTGTAGGCACATGGAAAGTCTTGCCGTCAGTTCGCCCTTGCCACCAGCAATATCCAAAATGTGTCTCATCGCATCATCTTGTTTTTTTAGATGGCTTTCTTGAAAGCTCATGGGAAATCGTTGCTGCAGCCATTTGGCAAAATGAATGTGACGGTGCTGGTTTCGAGCGCCATGAGGACCTGTTTTCTTCTTTGGTATATTATCGGGTGCATCATTATCTCGGTCGGAAGGAGCCGTCGCTTGGCCATCGTCCATTGCCAAAGCCCATCACCTCCACCAAAACCAGAAGGGGTATTTGGCGGAAGCTGCAAAGATATTATCTTATACTAGTATGTTGACAGCTGTGTTGACACAGACTTGTCAACAAACTGACAACCTGAAATTGCAATTATTTTGGTGTGGGTTCGCTTATTTTGGTGCTGCCGCCCGCTGGAGTGGGCATGATGGCCAATGACGTCAGTGGTGGCGTACTGGTAGACTGGTAGTGCCTTGTGAGGTTACAGTACTGGTAGATGTACCGGTACTGGCGGATGCCTGATACATGTAACTATTATCTATCTGGAGCGTTCCTCAGTCGTGCCTGTATCTATACATGTAATCCGCCCCTCAAATACAGCAGGGACGTTTCGGGGAATCTGCCCCTAAATACGAAACAACATTTGGGGCGGTTTCCAAACCTGCCCCTAAATCGCCAAAAAAAACCCTATTTTTGGGGTGGATTCCCCAAACGGCACCTAATAATTAGAGGCGTTTTCCAAACCTGCCCCTAAAATAGGGGCGTTTTCAATGTATTAACCATTCAGTACCGTTTCCATTCAGGGGAAGTCTCCAAACCTGCCCAAAAATCGCCAAAACGCCCATATTTTAGGCCCAGATGCCCAAAACCGCCCCTATTAATTAGGGGCGTTTTCGAAACCTGCCCCTAAAGAGGAAACGCCCCTAATTCTTAAAAATATTTGCATCTATTTTTCAGATTTAACGGGACACACGATTGAGGAACGCTACTCCGAGATCTGTACCCGTCTGCGTAGCTCGCCAGCAGCGCTGGCCAGCTACCTTTTCTGGCAAGCCCACTAAGTAGATTGATCTCCAAATTTTTGTAAAGCCTTTCAGGCACAAGCATAAAAATGATTCCACAGGAATTTTTCCCGTGGGACTCCGCGGTTTCTCGGCCAAAAACGCTACAGACGGTCTGCAACGGCAAGCGGTGCTCTATGCGTTTATGCGAAAGGACCTGGTTGGACGCTTTCGGGATTGTATCATTCTCACAAGAGAAGTTCAAGAGAGCTGATTTGGTTTGGAGAGGCTGAGGCTGCAACAAGCGTTTCTACAGAAGATGAGGAGCTTCAATAGCTGATTTCAGGAGTGAGAAAGTACTTGACAGATAGATTAGAAGCTAACCGATTTCAGCATGATTCGTTTTTGGATGCACCATGAGAAACGGGTTGCCAGCCATGAAACGACTCGCACCTATCTGCCGTTGCAAAACTGCGAACGAGCCACCGGCAAGTTGTTTGCCTCATTGTTTGCGCTGTTGGTGGGATCGAATCAGAGACAGCAGGTATCACCGTCCACAACAAGAACACAAGACGAGACAATGAACATCCCTACCTCCCAGTTCGAACAGAGCAGCCCCTTCCTTACCCTCTACGAACCATTTCCACGAAAGAAAGTCGACTCCTCCCGTCGTCACCATCATAATTCTCGCAAGGCGTCTTCCAAACAGCAGCAGCAACAACAACCTCCTTTTCCATGGTTCCATCGCAGCCACGCCCAACTCATGATGGTTTACCCTACTGCCAGTGCTGCTGCCCAATTGTCGTCAGACAAGAACGAAGAGGGTGTCCCCAAGTTTGTCCACTTGTTCCCTCAGGACTCCATCCTCGAAGATGACTTTTCAGCTCTCCAAGATGACCCCCGAGATGATGCCTTGGACCAACCGTTTGACGAGCTAGACTTTTTCCTAAAGAGTCGACGTAAGATTGCTCTTTTTGACGATGATCGGGACGACACTAATACGAACGATGAGAATGATGCCGCACGCGCCGTGGCTGCCACCAAGCGAACCGCCATGGGGCACAAAAAGGGAAGCAGCAAAGCACGAGGTCCCTCCTTTCGTGCTCCACCTCCGCTCAACAAGCTGGAATCGCAGGAATCTTCAGCTGTTTCTTCAGACGTGATTGCTCATCGCTACATGGGACGGGTCCTCTATGAGATTTGAATGGAAACAGCCAAGAGTGCTGTTGTACCCAAGAGTAAATATTTGCCGGAGGCATTGGGTTGGGTGGGCGGGATGCACAGGGTCACTGGAATCCTCCACTCATAGCTAGCTACATACAATTTTTCGAAAGTCAAGGGCACAGGGTACGACAGTAGAAACTAAATGCAAATATATAATCAAACAAAATACAACATGAAGACATCACTACGTTTCCGTGTATTGACGCATAGTTAGACCTATTATCAAAACTGTTCTCCCAGCAACCACCACCATGAAGCGCAAAAAGTATAAAAAGTACTCCATCAGTTTGCTTTTTATCTAGGAGAGTTCAGTCATCCCTCTGCGAGAAGAAGCTTTGAACCCAATCAAGTACCTCGCTATAACTCGCTGCCATCAAGTCATGGTCGTGATATGGGCACCCATTCTCAATTGCATATTTCAGCACCTCCAATTGGCCCCATTTAACAGCTTCACGGCATGTGTTTTCATCCCATGGACAGCCATTTTCATGTAAATATTGTAGCACTTCTAGGTGACCTTTGGGAACAGCCAAGTGGCACGTGTTTTCATCCCAGGCACAACCTTTTTCATGGGCATACTTGAGCACTTCCAGATTACCATTCATTGCAACATGGGAACACGTGCCTTCAGCCCATTCACAGCCATTTTCGTGGGCATATTTGAGGACAGCCAGATGACCATTCATTGCAGCATGGGAACACGTGCCTTCATCCCATTCACAGCCATTTTCGTGGGCATATTTGAGGACATCCAGATGACCATTCTCAGCAGCTGCCCTACAGGTATAGTTATTCCAAGGACAGCCATGCTCGTGGGCATATTTGAGGCACTCCAAATGGCCAGTCTCAGCAGCCGCCCTACAGGTATAGTTATCCCAAGGACAGCCATGCTCGTGGGCATATTTGAGGCACTCCAAATGGCCATTTTCAGCAGCACCTTCGCATGTCTCCTCATCCCATGGACAGGCATTCTCATGTGCATATTGCAATCCAAATGGCCAAATTGTGCAGCATTTAAGCAGGTGTGTAGGTTCCATCGACAGCCATTCTCATGGGCATATTTGAGGATGTCGAGATGTCCATGCGTAGCAGCATTTTTACAGGTACCTTCATCCCATGGACAGTGATTCTCATGGGCATACTTCAGCACATCAAAATGGCCAAACTGTGTAGCATTTTTGCATGTTTCTTCATTCCAAGGACAGCCCTTCTCATGTGCGTGCATATTTGAGTACTTCCAAATGACCATTCATAGCAGCATTGCTGCATGTACGCTGATCCCATGGGCAGCCATTCTCATGTGCATATTTCAGCACTTTGATGTGACCATTTGCTGCAGCACTCTCACATGTCTTTGCATTCCAACCGAATCCTTCTTTGTTTTGGGCCCACTCAACAACATGAATATTACCTGATTTGGCAGCTGCAGCACATACATCCATTGATCTCTTCAAAAGTGCCGACAAGTTTGTTGGTGTACCAATACTCTGCACGGGGGACACTGGAGAAAATTGCACTGTAGAAAGCATCAGAATAGGTTGCCAAACCCCTACCAACAACAGGCTTGCTGAAAATGCCTCCTTGCATCTCAATAGCAGAATTTCTGACAACAATGCCTACTTGCACCTCTGGAGGATTTTCCACTGTCTTACAGTAAGCTTTGTAGAGCTCCTTCCTGTTGTAGCTTACTGGTGCCACAAAGGCAAATTGGCCCATACCAAGAAAAGGGAAGATCTTTTGGACCCAAATGTCCTCATGCTTCAAACAGGATTCTGCTCCTGAAGCAACCCTGAGATTGGTTTTAGCCTGGTGTACAACTGCATTCACCTGTTCCTGTAGAGCCAGTGCAGTTTGGAGGTGCTGCACTGCTGCCTTGGCAGTGTTTTGTCCAATGCCGGACTGAGCTGCTGTAAGATACAAGAAATACCTTCCGAGACACCTTGGCTGGATACTTCAATTGAATGCTTTGATCGCTTGGGCTGCTTGGGTGATACTAAGCTGCTGCACTGTAAATCTCTCTTGACATTGTCTTTCTCCATCTTGAAAACGTTTTCTTAAAACTTCTATTGTGGTTGTTTCCGACGCAGTTGTGGCCAAGTAAGTTGTGGCATTGCGGCACCGATGGAGACTTCGTTTCAACCAAGAGTTCCACAATGTTGTCCATGGTTTTCTTTCTCTCAGCCCCGATCAGCGCGTCTCTTGGCGGGACAGCCAGACCGCTCGCTCGTGGCGGATTTGCTCCTGAGAATTTTTGGCGCGAACCTCCTTCGCAACCATTTTTTTGCAGAGAACAAACTTCAAAGAAGGGAAACAACTATTAATAACTCTGTGCCACAAACTACTAGCTAGCACGGCAGCGTGAAAGGAAAAGATGGATGATCTCTTGGCTTTAATGGAAGGTGGGGACGACCTGTTGCCACCGGAGCCAGAAGAACCTGTAAATACTCGCTCTCCTTCCAACTCTTCGTCGACAGTGCGCAACGTCACACCCCACAATGCAGACAACAACAACGGCCATCATGCAGGGGGGAGGCCAGCCACGAAGAAAGCAAAGAAAAAGACAGCGGCTGAAACTGGCGAAGCACAGGTGGATAGTATCTTGAAGATGCGCATGCTGGACCGCAAAGTTGGATCGCTTGATTTGTTGGAATACATTCAGACTCGAAACTACCAATCTCCGGCCGCGTTGGGAGCCATGTGTCTAGCTGCCCTGAATCATCTTTTGATTGACCCAGCGCTGGTTGTTTCTCCCGCCAATGTCCATGGCAATACCAACCTATTCACTGTGGGTCTTGTCTTTACCAACTCAGGAACCAAGATTGCTGCCAAAGGCAATGCTTTTTGTGTTTTGACCATGGGCAGCAACATTAACACTGGTCCTTCTGTGACAGTGTTACTGTTTGGTGCTGCCTTTAGCAAGTTCTGCCGAGAAATCAAGCCAGGGATGGTGGTGGCCTTGGACAATCCACGCCTGATTCCAGCCAAAGAACCACAGCAAAACAGCAAGTTTGTCGACACTACCTCCATCAGCTTTAGCATCAATGATGAACGACGCATCTTTGTAGTGGCCAAAGCGCGAGATTTTGGTGTATGTCAGGCAACTGTTAAAGGCAAGAATTCTGACGGACATTGGGTGAACAATGCCAAAAGATGTAACACAGTCATTGATGTTCGTGCAGGCAAATACTGCCACCACCATCGCAATCAAGCAAATGCAGCTGCAAATCAACAAGGAAATGGTAAGGGTGCCAAAAAGGGAACTTTTGTACAACAACTACGACATGAGGTCAACACACAAGCACCCTCCAAAGGAGGCCAAGGGATTTACAACCCTCACCAAACCCTTGTAGTATCAAAGCAGATGCGAGGAGTTCCCATGCAGATGAGCAAGGGGAAGGCTCCAACAGATAGACAACCTCGGGCCGACTCGTTCAACCGACCGATTGCGCTCCAACGCAATCCCAAACTGGCTTCAAATGGCATACTGAATTTCAAGGCCAAGGAGAACCCCTATGCGAAGAAAGGCCCGGCCCGACCCACTCCATCGTCAAGCAACAACCAACGTGCACCTTTGGGAAGCAATCGATCCAAGACCGCCAAAACTAATAAGGAGGCCCACAATTGGCTCGCTACAACTACGGGCAAGCGACAACGACTTCCTCAGGCCACCCCCGGTAGCAGTAGACAAGGACCTACGGGCCGAAAATCTGCGGTCAAGTTGAACACCGTTGCGATGGGAGGTTTTGACGGATCGGTTGCCGTTCCAAAGCCTTCCAGAATGTTTGCCTCCGCGGGTGGACCCAATAACCGTGGAGGTGGCCAGTCCTTGTTCGCCCAGACTGCAGCTGCGGAGCAACAATCTGCAAGCGACATCTTGTCTAGGCAAACGGAGTTGGCTAAACAACTGCGTGGTGCCCAAAATGGAAAGGACGTCAAAGCGACAAACCTAAACAAGAAGAAGAAAAGTGCGCAGGACAGTGCCGATGCCTCTGGGTTCTTTGGATCGTCCCTGGTACAAAACAATGCTACCCTTCAGAACATGGATCGGGCAGCCGTCATGAATACCAAGAGTCGCTTTGCTAGCGAAGCGGATGCCGAAGCCTATGCAGAAAGCCGTCGTCGTGTCACGGAATTGGAACAAGAAGAAGCTCGCAAAGACAAGACCAAGGGCAAAGCACAACAACAACTATTGGCGGACCAAAAGAAAGTGGTGGACAAGGAATGGATTTGCAAGACATGCAGCAACAAGCGGTTCAAGAAGGAGCCAAAGGTTTGCCTTCGTGCCCGACACGATGTAGTGCTCAAACGCATCTTGAACAAGAAGGATGAAACTGTGGCGGAGAAACGTTCCAAGTTGACGTCCAGATCAGTCCAAGATGGAGGCCTGACGTTGGGCTCGGGCATTGAATGGACGAGGTTCAGCAGATTTAGCCATTAGTTCCATGGTGGCAACCGCACTATTGTAGGGAAACACCGAGGATTCTTCAGTTTTGTCTCCAGTAGCTGGCTTCCAAAACTCAGCCCGGTTCTAAGATATGATAGACTTGAGGTGCAGTTCTCCACTGCAGCTTTGCTAAGAAACTAGAAGGGGAAGATTGCAACATTTTCACCGACCACAACAATTACAGTACCAGTACGATAGCTAGATCCGGGAAGATTGATGGATTGATTGCTGTTCCAGTGGCTTACATCATCATTTGGTGGCCAAAACAACTCCAAAAATTGTAGGCCTTTTCGAAATTTTTGTCACCGTACTAGTAGTCAATTTTGTCATTTGTTGTCGTTGTAACGTGCCTCATTCATTCACGTAATTAATTAATGAGCTTCCTTGTCGCAGTGTTCCTTGTAGGCAGCTTCATCCATGAGACCATCCAATTCACTGGCATCACTGATTTCCAACTTGATGAACCAAGCATCTGTTTCTGCTGCAGTATTGACGAGACCGGGATCATCCGAGATATTGTCGTTGGTTTCAATCACCTTCCCTGCTACCGGGGCATAGACATCCGATGCAGCCTTGACAGACTCGACCGAACCAAAGCTGTCACCCTTTTCAAAATCGTCATCGACCTCGGGCAAATCCACAAAGACGATATCCCCCAAAGCGGATTGGGCAAAATCTGTGATTCCAACCGTTCCAATGTTGCCCTCCACTTTGACGTATTCGTGGGCTGTGCCAATCAAATAATTTGGAAGAGAGATGCCAACATGGATAGAAGAAACATGGAACATGATACCAAACCAACAAGAGTGAGAAGAACACATGGAATGAATCGAGCACACAAACATTAGAAGATCTTGACAAGGCCAATTATCTGGTATCTTGAAAGAATCATACCAAAGATAGGATCCAGAAAACAACCTCAGGAAAATCCACGTATTCGCACCTGGGGTGAAGTAACTGGTCAATCGAACAACTCCAAGTCTGGAGGAAGCAGAGACAACCTTGGAACTGCGGAGAGCAGATCCAACCGATGTACGGGCCACAGAGCGAGCGAATAGAGTTGCCATTGTAGAAATTTGGTTTGAAAGAGTCTTACTTCTTCGTTATCGAGAGAGGGAGGAATGAAAAGGAAGCGATGGCAAAGTTTTGGACCCCTTGAAGATCCATTGCGCCATGGTCGTCGATTCATCGTTTCAGTGACGTTTTTTTGAGGGAGCGGGGCGAGCTCTGGATACGGTGCTACTGCCTCCACATATCTTCATTCACACCCACACGAGCGCGTCTTCATGGTCTTGCCAAAGGGCATTGGCCACAGGAAGGGTACGACTGTACTGTAGCGGGCTCTCGCCGTTTCACAAACACAAACACATAGAAGCCTAGCAGAGAAGGCACGGCTCTTGAAGGCTTTGGCAACAAAGTCAATCACCACCCGCTATGGTACTGGCTAGCTAGCGACGAGCAGAATGATTTCTAAAAAACCTATCTATTTATTACTCTTTCGTTCGACATGGAGATCGTTCCAAAACAAAAAGATGTGAGTATGTCGTGGTGGTCTGTGGCGTGGTTACGACAGGTTGCAAGGTTTGGTGTTTAGCGATGACTGCCTGTCGTGCCATGGGTGGTGGAGGTCATATGGGCCCAGGCCACTCTTTCGGTTGGCATGTGGATTGTTCCGACACGAAAAAGATGTGATTTTGTCGGAGGAGACGCAGAAAATCCACCCGCCGGTCAGCACAAGTTGATCAGGCATCCATAGTTTCGTGTTCCTCGTTGGCCGTGGAACCGTTGGCCTTCTGTGCTGGCAATTCAGGCATGCGAGTCAACAATCCGTGAATCTTTCCAGCAAAGCCAATAGCCGCAATGGTAGCCGTGATACCCCAAAAGACACCGACGTAATCCTCTTCATTAGTAAATCGCCGAGCGTACAAGACGAGCCCCGAATGGCACTGATACCAACCCATGGCCAGGAGCGAAATTCCACAACCCTTGTGTCCAAACTCCCACATGACACGGATAGCGGAAGGTTTCTCACCGGGAGAAGGAAGGTGGGGTCGCATCATGCCACCAATGCACTGCACAATGACCAAGATAAAGACGACCAACCCGATCGTGTGATGTTTGCCCAATGCTCCTTCGCGAGGTTTGAAATGGTCCGCATTGCCGCCGCTCGTATCCTCCAGCGCCTTGACGACCACGGCAAACGCAATGACCGTCAGCACAAACACCATAATATTGAATCCGCGGTGTGCCTCGAACCAAAGCCCCTGTTTGGGAATCAAGTGGCGGCACATGCTATTGGCAATGGCCAACGGAGCCAACAGACCCCAAGCAATAGCAGCCATGATGCCATGAACTTTGAAGAATCGCTTCTTGTCGTCAAATTCAATCGAGACGGCTCCAGCTGCTGTGACATTGCTGGCCAATTGGCCTTCTACGCAAGGCTGGAAGACAAGACCGACAGACGCTCGGTACCTATGAGATCCAAAAGCGTTGGATATTCCTGCCGCCACCAGGATAAAGTTGGTTCCGGAAGGATTGATCTCAATTTCTCCGTCCTCTTTCAAGTACTTGGAAAACTCCAAGACGGTGTGGGTGTCATTTTGAAAAATGGAGTGATTCATCAGCGTCTGTTGATCGGTGAGGGCGTTCGCAGTGGTGTCAAAACCCGCCAAGTTGCGCTTTCCTGGATTCGAAGGACCCTCCGGTTCATCTGGCTCTCCGATTACTGCAAGATGTTGCGGTCCTACCATGCGACCATCGCTGGAAAATCCCATCCCGACGTACCCAACCCCTTCATATGTCACCCGAGCGCTCAAAATTCCTAGATTGGGACTGTCGTCCTCGACGACCACATATTCGATCGTCATGGGGATATCGTCAAACGCGTGGGTGGATTGAAACTCGGAGCAATTGACGATTTCACCAGGGGGCGAAGTATCAGGAATGATCATTTCTGTTGGAGCTTCTGTGGGTCCATTGGTGGGTGAGGTTGTCGGCGCCATGGAAATGGTGGGTGATCCAGTGGGAGCAGCCGACGTGTCGACGGCGGCCGCATCAGTATCCATGGCGGCCGCATCGGCATCGACGGCTGGAGGCTCTTCACAAGGTTCAAAGGTCAGAGACTCGGAAGCGCGAAACGCATGGTAACCAAATGTATTCGAGGATCCAGTAGCAACCAAAATGAAATTGTCGCCTTGAGGATTAATTTCTATTTCTCCATCCTCTTTCAGGTACTTTGAAAATGTAAGGACAGTATGAGTTTCATTCTGTGTCACGCTGTGGTCCATGAGGGTTTGTTGACTGGACAGATCCGCTGTGGTGGGACTGTACGACAACAAATCGTATTTGCCAGGGTTGGAGTCTCCGTCTGGTGCATCGGGCAGACCAATCACAGCCAAGGACCCGACCATGCCTCCTGTGGGGCTGAATCCCAAGCCCACCCATCCTAGACCTTCGTAGGTCACTTGAGCGCGAAAGAGACCTCCGGTGGGGCTCTCATCGTCCACGGTAACGACCCATTCCAGTTCAACGCCAGGCTGAAACGAATGAAGAGCTTGAAAGTTGGAGCAATCTTGAGCGCCAGTGAACGCCAGAAGCGGCAACAGGGAGAGTGGAAACACTGTTTTCATTGTAGAGAGGATCTGCTCTGCTTCCTTGCTTTGTTTGAATAATTGTTGTGCTGGTTCGCGGCTGTGTGTTTTGTGAGGTACATGTATTGTTTGGAATGAATAGGCGGTGAAAAATGCGGCTGTCTGCTTGGGCAATCGCGCTGAAGTGAAGCAAGATCCAAGTCTGATGCTCCAGCCAAAATAAATTGTGAGCGGTTGGATGTCACTCAAGCAGCTTTTTCAGGTGACGTGGCAGAAGCCCACAGCAACTAAAAACCAACAACACGGAACACCAACCAACCGGATAGCCACCGAAATCCATATTTGTGCAACCAGCCGAGCTGCTGATTATATCCGTACCGATGCTGATATCTAGGTACCGGTACCAGCTAGCTAGCGAGCTAGTACCGGTATGCATACATGTATGTAAGCCCCGGTTGCCACAGCCTCCATATCAGCCACACAAGTTACAAACACGACAAGGTGCTATCATAGTTATTGCTACAATCTAGGAACCATATTTGAGAGCCTTTTCCCAGCCAGGGTTGCTTGAGATGTTCTGGCTGGGAGTGAGACACAATCTATTTACAGATTCCATCATACCCGTATACCGGTAGTTGATTGCCCTGCGCTGACATTCAAAGGCCCTCAAGTCTTTGTTGATTGTTTCCATACTTCTGCTGTCCTCACTGGTAACATCCACTACTAGTTTCAGCAATCTCCTTGTTTTCTGCTCCAGAATGGAATCATTGTGGAGCCCCCAAAGCCATGCATGTATTATTGCTGCCTCCATGATTTCTCGTTCTTGTCCCAAACTCTGTAAGATCCATCCCTGTGAATGGATAAGCGAACTTCTAGAATATAGGTTCCATCATGCTGTTGAACCAATCAGAGTAAAGTTTGGCTGGCAGGATCAGATAGAAGATTGTTGGTATTACTTAGGCTTTCCGAGTCTTTGGTGTTTTTGGAATGGAATTCTGAAAAGCGCTGCCACCAGCAAGATCCGTGATTGTGACGGAGTAGTTTTCAACAACTTTATCACAAGGAGTAATCATTGATTCCTCAAGAACAACTTGGCCCTCCCGTTCTAATCTGTCTCTCTTCTTTTGGATCATCATGGTTCTCAGCTCATCTTTGGGGATGGTTCTACCGGGCTGTGTCTTTAGCCAGGCCGCTATCTCTTCCACCTCTGTATTCAAAAGAAATGGTTCCCTGCCCTTTTTCTTGAACCAGTGATCATTTGGAAATGTATCCAAAGATCCCCCATTTTTCTTATGCTTTTGGAATTGCTGCCACAACAAATAAATAGATGATTGTTTGATAGGTACAAGTTTCTTCTTGATGACCTCTCGAATAACCAGGCCCTTGTTCGAGTTCTTTTGTCCTTGAGTCAAAACTCTAAGAAGCTCATGGCGATCATACATAACCCCATCAATAGGAAGTGGAACCAACCCAACAGCATCATCCGAGGGGTTGTGTTGTGTTGTGTCACTGGCAGTCGTTTTAGAGGAATTTCTTTTTTCGGAAGGCGGTGTGGTGGATTCATCAAACGGAAGTGAGACCAACCCATCATCAGAGGGGGGGATTTCTTTTGTGCCGCTGGCAGCCGTTCCAGAGGAATTTCTTTTTTTGGAAGGAGGTGTAGTGGACTCGTCACACGGAAGTGAGACCAACCCAACAGCATCATCCAAGGATGAGGTTGGCTTTGTGCTATTGGCAGTTGTTGGGGAGGACTTTCTTTTTCTGGAAGCCTGTGTAGTGAACTCATCAAACGGTTCCTTGCCCTTTTTCTTGAACCAGTGATCATTGGGAAATGTATCCAAAGTTCCACCATTTTGCTTGTGCTTTTGGAATTGCTGCCACAACAAATAAATAGTTGATTGCTTGACAGGTACAAGCTTCTTCTCGATTATCTCTCGAATAACCAGGCCCTTGTTTGAGTTCTCTTGTCCTTGAATCAACACTCCAAGAAGCTCACGGCGATCATACATAACCCCATCAATTGGCAGTGGGACCAACCCAACAGCATCATCCGAGGGTGAGGCTTTCTTCGTGCCACTAGCAGTCGTTCGGGAGGACTTTCCTTTTTTGGAAGACACTGTAGTGAACTCATCAACTCTAGCAGCTAACCTTTCATGAGCAGTAGACGATATTGCTAGTGGCTGGTTTCCCAAAGCCTCCCTTCTGATTGCAGCAGCTCGATTCAAACCAGCCTGAAGCCCGGGTACAGGAGAAAGTGCTTTGTTGCAACTCTTGATTTGCTTGCTCACTCGTTGAGCATCAATAACCAACTGGTTCAGTGTTTGAAGAACCTTTCTCTTTTGATTTTCAGTGATTTTCTCGGGCTCCAAAGCAGCTTTGATGTCCCTCAGTACAGTTCGCCAATCAGCTACCTCAGTGGCTGTCTGGTTGAGAGAAGCAATTGCTTGAATACAATTATCGATGCTTATTTCTCTCTTCCTGGCAAGAACAGCTCCAGCCTTATCAGGCTTGCTAGCTCGCATTGGTGTTGGCATAGCATGAATGGATGGGTCCCAGAGGGGTATCAAATGGCAAGAAGTGGTTCTATCAAGGCAGAAGGGCTCAAAATCGACAAAACCAGAAAGACGGTCACCAATAATGAACAAGCCACGTCCAAATTATGTATCGCTATCTCAAAGTATTGCCTGGTTGGCTCTACTGGTTAAGCTGCTAGCTTGCTGAGGGTACTAGCTAGTATATCTATCTGTCAGCAAGGGTTTCTTCCAATGGTTCCCACGGTGCATGTACCATACATGTCATGTATGCATAGTAGTGCTCTTGTGGTTTGTTAGCACGAGGACTTCACGCACAGTACAGTACTACCGCTAGTACCGGTAGGTGCGTCCAAAGGCTTTGACGGAACGTGGGCGGTTGCTCGTTCGTGGACGGGGGTGTCCATAGTACTGAAAATACGTAGAAATCCCGTAGAAACACGATGGACAGGAGGGGTAAACGTCCAAGACTGTCACTCATCTGGACTGCGAGCCGCAGCATCACAATCACAAGGCAATGTTGAGACAACCTTCTGCCTTTTAATAAAAACACTGTCTCGAAACAATAGCAAAGAAGCGACGTCATGCCCACTGGCTTGGAAGAGGCTTTGGCGGCCGTCACCGCTGCATTTTCGGTTTGTGACATAGCTAGCAGCGCCGGAGCCCCCGTCGCGAGCACAAGTACGCTGTACGCTGCAAAGAGAAATTCCTTGGCGCAACCAGAAATCGTGCAATCTTTGAACCCCCCGGAAGGGACCCTGAAGCGGACAACCCTCCGTATCTGTCCCCAGTTGCGAAAGCGATCGTGGAGATTTATCAGAAACCGCTTCCTCGTCGCTCATATGTGCTTTATGCTGATGCGTTGACTGGCAAGACTGCGGCTGCCAGGCACATCATGAAGACAATGTTGGAATCATGATTGGAGGCCTTGCCCCGAACGAGGACTACTTCTCACAGATGGCAAACTTGCTGGGCGCCACCGGTGCGAAGGGTTGGGCATGGGCTCTGATCCAGGCATTGGTGCCCGATCCAACGGCGGAGCCACAAAGGGCGCATTCGATCATCATTCTCGATGAGTTCAATTCGGCTGGGCCCGGCGATATTAACATTCGTTTGCCAAAATGCTTTACAAGGCTCTTACTGACAAATCTATTTACTTGTTGATTATGACCCAAGACAAGAGCGTCGGGGATAAACTGGCCGACCTTAACAATCGGTCCAAAATCACTGCGCTGCCTGGTGCTGTTAACAACCCAGGAGAACCAATGGGAAAAGCTTTCGATTGGAAGCCGATGCCGTGGGACACTGCCCTCTTGACGAAATACCTCAAAAATTTGGACCGTGGAAAGAACGCCGCAATTTTCAAAGACAAAACGAGCGAAGTGAGCTCAACTGGCTGGACCGTCCCATGACTCCGCACAATGCTCGATGGAAGTATGAGGAGAAAATTGGCAATGCATTTGACGAAGAATTGAATAAAAAATGATGGATCTGTATGGAGCAGACAGCTAAAAAGTTCCACCAAAGCCAAAGGATGAACGCAGCCGTCGGGGTCTTCTGAGGAGGCTTCTGCTGCTTCCAAGCGGAACCAGATCTACCCCGTTTTTAGAAGAAGGGTTTGGGGGTTTCCACTAGACCTAGTTGGTCTTTCTCCAGTGGTCCAGCGTGGTTAGACTCACTCGACTCCGTATTCGAGGAATAGCCACCTATACCGTATGTACTAGTCTACCGTAAACGACGGCCGCGCTTTGATGCTTCTGAAACTGTTGCCGTGGTTAGACTAACTAGTGTGAGCAATGATGGCGTTGAAGATGAAGGTACGGCCTAGTGACAGGTTTCGATCCAACTCAACGATTGCATTTCAGCCGTCGATCCATCCATCCACACATCCACTGTTGTGGTTTTTATCAAATCTGGGCCAATGGTATTCTATTATTAATACCGTACTCCAATGACTTCTTTTGCTTCTTTGGAGACCTTTCCATGCGTCGAAACGATGTCGGCCTTTCGAGGAGTAACCACTAGAGCGGGTAGAGAAGAATTGTGACATCCACTATGTGCAGCAGTATGCAAGGCCATTTCGGCTGGCTGTTGTGCGGTAGTGTGATGAAAAATTGGGCCAGGGAAGACGTTGTATCAACGTTTTAGTTCTTGCTGCGAAGGCCTCGCTTTATCTCCGAGGGGGTAGCTATGCATAACTGCGCTGCTTCGGATACTGCCGCCAACAAAGAAGCAAGCTGCCCTCATGATTAGCTAAAACGCCACCAAGGTTCTGGTAGCAGGTACCTGCACAGAACTAGTCAGTTGTTCAAATTCAAAGTGAGGTCCAGACGAGTTAGTTGCCTTCATCCCTGCGTCGGGCTGTCGACAGAGAAAACTGCCGCGCAGCCAACAACAACTAACTGGGACCGGACCATTACTTTGGCTCATAACCAAATCGTCGCTTCATCCCATCACCGGGATGTCCATCCATCGGACCATCCAAACATACCAACAACAACATCAACATTGCGACATCCACATTACAACATCCACAACAAGAAATCAACTTAAAAAGAACAACACCAGGGATTCCAACGTGGTCCCCCACCGTAGTACTAACCTGGCCCGACGATGCTTAACTTCGCTGAGCAGACGGGAAGCGGTGCTGTCATCGTGGTATGGTCGTTCCTAACAGCACACTCGATGGGAAATGCTGATACCAATACCACGCTCCTGCCTCGCTACCAGTGCCAGGACTGGTTACGGAACCAAATTACTCTCATTTTTAAGATAATGACTATTAATTAAGTCTTCTTCAATTTTGCCTCTAAATCTTTGACCTGAGTGCCATCACATCGTGGAATATCTCCTCGTGTTACCAGGTACCGGTACCGGTACTAGCTAGTGCATGTATTTGCTTCTCGACATCCAAGCCCATGATGGTCTACCGATACGATCGACGATCGAAGCTTTGTACGATGTACTAAAAGTATGATGGAAACCATTATGAGCTTACTGTAAGAAAAGAAACTTCTACATTTCTCTTAGAGGGTGTACTACATGATGATGGTGGTATATTCCAACTTCTATGGCTTTCATCCGAGGCTTCATAGGAGAGGTGCTTCCAACAATAATGATCAAGAGTGCCGACAGGATTGCAGATCAGTATTGGGTTCAGCGACCAATTCTAGTTGTAGTAGTAGTATGGTAGTAGCGACTGTTTGTTGTTGTCGCCGTAGCGGTAGCAGTCGTGGTTGTCGTTTGATCGATCGTCTTGTTGTTGTTGACGGTTGACGGGCTACTGCTCCAATGAAAAATTCACTGTTCAGGAATCCCAGGAAGTGCTTTATTCCCTGCCACACTTCCTTTTCTCCATTGGTATTGCCACTGAGGAATGTAGAGTTGGTTTTGGCTTATGAAATGGCTTCCACAATGGCCACTGATGCCAGAAAGTCAAAAATCAAGAGAAAATGGTATCCTCCAGTTTATTATCCACTGAGTAACTACACAGGCACAAAATCGACTTCTAGATGAAACCGCTGCGACAGGCATGTTCATATTGACAAAGTAGTTATGGGGAGTACCTTCTGAATGTTACCATGGTAGTGACAAAGTACATCTACTTTAGAGGAGGGAGGTGTGACAAGAAAAAATAAGGGGTGGTGGTTTGTTTGTGAAGTGATGTTGTTCAGTGTTTGGCGGTGCTTATCACTGAGCTTTCCGTGGACACCATCAACCGCCGGTATCAGGGCAGCCAGGAGCTGGTTCAAAAAGAACTGTTCCACGGTATTCCAGGGACCACCCAGGATGGAACCTGTCTTGAGCAATGGAACCGGTCTTCTGGCTGGTAGCTCGATTCGATTGATCACACCACACCAATTGATTGAATTCGTGCCTCATCAATGATATGAGAATGGCATTGCGTGGCGAACAGGGAATTGAGCGTCCACTAATGCAGCTGATTACTCTGTTTCAGGTGTCAATGATCCTGCAGTCGTTCCTTGCATTTCGGTCGGCTGCTTCCTTTACTGCTCATGGACGCTTTGGAAAAGGCATCCCATTGACAAGACATCATCAGATACGACATTTAAATCGGTTTCTATTTGACCCCGAAGAAGTGCTCGTCGATGACAATGCTACCAAAAAGTATGTGACACTCTCCAAAGACGACTATCGAACAATCCATGCGTCCAAAATTTTGGGGTTGCACAATGGCGACACGCTTCGGGCCGGAGTGGTTGGATGTTCGGACCTAAATGGTACCGGGAGTGGTGGGTATCTGACTGACCATGCCGTCGTTGAATGGATTCCCGAAGGCAAAGTAAAAAAGGCAGAGCCATTGGGCAATGGGAATCCCCCAGGGTCCCTCAGGATTGAATTGTCGGATCTCTCTCCTTGTCCAGACTCGCAAGTGCCAACTGTAGCTCTATTGCTGGCATTACCACGGCCGTTGCAATTGGGCAGAATGCTGCCCATGATCGCCCAAATGGGTGTCAGCCATTTGATTTTATCACAGGCCAAAAAGGTACCCAAAGATTACTTTGGCTCGCACCTCTTTCGAAAGCCGCACTTGCTGCGAGAGCGGCTCATTGAAGGCCTCTGCCAAGCGGGAGATGTTCGGTTGCCTAACATAACCATTGTCAAGAATCTGAAGCATTTCTTGGCAGAAGATATTGACGAGATGTTTCCATTGACTGACTATGCAAGAGTTATAGCCCATCCACAACGGAAGGAAGACGATGAAATCAGGCGGATGCGAAACGTGGAGTTTCCAACATCGACAACAACTACCCCTCGAATATTGATGGCCGTTGGGCCGGAGGGTGGGTGGGAAGAGCCAGAGGAATTGGATCGATTTCAGGAGCTTGGCTTTCAGCAAATCACCATGGGAAACAGGGTACTTCGAAGCGACTGTGCTGTGGTTAGTCTACTGGCACTGGCTCATGACGCTTGTAGCAACGACTAAAAGCTAGTAGATTGCTGTACGCTGAAAATGCATCTTCGATCACCCTCTGGCATTCCTGTATGGTGGTTCTCCTTCGTCAATATAGCTACTGTGTGATACTTTCGTCTGTAGCTATACAGTATTAGATGACATCGCTCCTGCATCCATTTCTTACATTGTACAGCTTGACAGAATCCAATCAAGTAAAATAGCCAGCGACAACCTTCTCCTCTTTCTCGTTATCATTGCAAGAGAAAGTTTTCAAATGGATTGTCTTCGCCATTGCTGTCCAGAAAGACTTTGATATTGGCTCGACTAGCGTCGCTGAGTCCTTTCCAATTCTCAAAGGAGGTTTCGAATCGTTTGTAGAGTTTCCATGCCAATTCCTTGTGTCCCGCCACAATCAAGTCTTGACCGGCATGAAAGGCGGGAGAGACTCCCAGGGTACACCCCAACTCGTGTTGTTGCCGTGGATTGTCGCACAAGTCCTTGACGACGGTTTCGACATCGGTCAGACGCGTGGAATGCGGTGAAAACAGTATAAAGTTTTCCGTCGCGGCATTTTCGAGCGCTTCTTGCACTGTCATGAGACCTCGATTGATGGCGGCAATCCGCCCCGTCCACAGGATCCGTCGTAGCGTGGACAAGGCGGAGAGTCGTAGTAGGGAGGGTGCCTTTTCCGACTGTCTACTACTACTTGCTTTGCTTTGTTTGCCATTCTTGTGGTTGTTTTCCTTGTTGTAATAGTATCGAGCTGCCGAAGTCGCGACGGAACTAATCAACTTGTACGCTTCAACATTGAGCCAATGCAAGGGATGCAAAATCTTGGTCCATTTGGGTTTCCGGACCACTTCTAGAATCTCGTCGAGCATTTCGGGATAGGGTTGTGATTGCAGTATGTACTGAAATCGTTTGATCTTGGCATGCAAATCCGCTTCGCCGCGTAATTGTTGACTGACAGTATCATTATCATCGGTGGAGGAGGACGACACTGTTTTGTCGCACTGTTGGCATTCCCATTGCTCCCGGGCACCGGAATGCAATAGCACGCCTCCACTACAATCATGACATCGCAATGGTGAGCATTCGTCCCATCCCATGCAACGGGTGCATTTGCAGAGAAATGTTTTGTTCTCTCGTAGGAATCCTTGTCGTTGTTTGCGGGGACGTTCGTAGACAGATCCTAGGTAGGATATGGAGAGTCGTTCTTGTGGTGCAATAGCAATTTCGGCCAAGTACTCTAGTTTTCCACCCTTTGTGACAAAGGTAAGATTGGGCGAACAGGAATGTTCGACCCGTGATCCCAGAGTAAAGATTGCATGGTATGTGTGTGGTACGGCATTGTTGGTGGAAGTGGCGACAATATCTACGGTATGATTGGCTTGAAAGGCATGTGCATTGGCATCGACGAGTCCAATGAGTTGATCCGCCAATGGCAATGGCAGTGCTTGTTTGTGCTGTGGATTGGCTTGGATGAACTGTCCGTACTGTTGTACTAGAAGTTGTTTTCGTTTGGTTCTTATTTTCTTTCGTTTGTCGTCCATGAATTGTGCCAGAGCGTCTTCCTTGGGTCGGTACATTTGCAGCATCTTTTGTTGTGTTGTTGGAGATGCCTTCAAGTAGGCTTCAAAGAGTCCCTTGTATCCGGACCGTTCGTCAAAGACAATGGCCGGTGGTTCCAAGAGGACGGTATCTCCACTGGAAAAGGATTGGGTAGCAATGCAGGCTTTGCCCAAGTCTTCTGTATCAATGACTTGAACACCTTCCGCCAGAGTTTGTTGTCCTGGGGTATCGACTGTGGCAATCTCAAAGAGTGGATTGTTGGGTGTTTGCGTTGCTTGTTGTTGCGCTTTCATGGCCGCGACGAGTTGTTTGCACTTGGCCTTGTGGTGGGGAAAGTGATCCACTTGACATTTCTTGTTGTGGTACCATGCCTGTTTGCAACGAGCACAAGCCAAGAGATTCTCACCGGGTTTGCCACACGCATCGCATATCTTTTGGTCATCACTACATGTACTTGTAGTTGTGGTACCGTTAGTGTCACCACCAGAAGTGCCGGTGGTGGGTAGCACCTCATTCTCCTTGGTAGACGCCATGGTGGGAGCTGAGCTTCAGCGCTCACATGCAATGAGATCACTTCGTTTTGCTGTTGTTTTGGATCTACTTGTACGAGTAGTAGTGTCAGATGCCTTCGCTATTCCTCCATTGATGCTGTACCAGTATCTCCTGGGCTGTTTCAGACTGGGTCGTTGGCTTCAGTTGTGTCGTCTTCTCCTCGGAGTGGAGAAAAGATCCGAAATGATCGAGAGACCTAAATCTTTTGTTATCACCAACCCTAACAAAATCACATTGAATGGCTTTGGAAGCAACCATGACGACACCCACCTCAAGCCGACCATGGCCCACCGGCCTACCGCTTTTTCTTGATAGCTCCCCCCACTTGTTAGCTAGCTCAACACTGTTCCTTACTAGTAGCTATCGTTCCGTTCCCCAAGAAAAGCACAACCATGGCAAGCCGGTTATCGCGTTCCCTCGTGGCCTCGCTGCAACAACAGCAATACTCCCGACAGCTGTTGATACCCCGCTTCTTCAGTGGCAACAACAGCAGCAGCAATATACCCAACCTCGACAATTTGGTATCGGGTGTCACGTCGGAAATGGTAGCCAACGATCCTGTTCTAATGGACTACATGAAATCCAATTTTCCAGAGTATTTCGAGGACAATAATAATAGGAAAGAAGAAGAAATCGCTACAGTCGTGACCAACTGGGGAGAACGACGACGAGCCATTCCCAAACCAATACTCAATATCCGATCCATACCGACACTGCTACGATGCCCCGAGACGGAAGAAGGATCCAATCGGTGTTTTCCTATGAGAGAGCGGGAAGGATTGATTCCAGGCGTCATTTACGGATCGAATCCCACCATTGGCGCCAAGGAACGCATCTTTGTCAAAACCCCTCGGTCCATCATTCAATCCGAAATGGATCGATTCCATCATCTCGCTTTCGTGGGGCGGGTGTACGATCTCACCGTCTACGAGACTCCGGAACAGTTTGACCAAGAACAAGGAGGCACCGTTCATCGTGTGGTGCCTCGCAGTGTCCAACTACATCCCGTCAATGATATGGTCTATTGCTGCAACTTTTTACGATACTATCCAGGAAGACCCATCAAAGTTCCCGTCACATTGGTCAATGAAGAAGAATCACCGGCTTTGAAACGTGACGGATTCTTGATTCCAATCAACAAAACGGTAGAGGTCGTGGTGGACGAAGGTAAGCGGCGGATCGAGAGCAGATTATGTAGTAGGGGTGGATTCTCTCTCGAGAGTGTCCTTTCTCATGCTGGTTTTCTTCCTCTTGGTGTTTATTAGGTGTTGCCATTCCAGAGGTACTGGAGGTTGAATGCTCGGGGCTCCAATTCAAACAAGTTATTCGACTTGACCGAGTCATGTTCCCAGAAGGTGTCAGGCCCAGTGAAAAGGTACTCAAACACAAGGATTTTATGATTGGACCGATTCATGGAGGAAGAGGTGGAGGTGCGGATCTGACGGAGGGCGAGGGTGACGAGGAATAAATGCATACTAGCTATCTAGTAATACTACAGTACCGTACTAACTACCTCGCAGGAGAGGAGCACCGTTCAAAGCTGTAGCCGTGCTAGATGTGTTGTTGATGTCTACAATAATCATTCTGGTAAGTAGCTATTGGTACTAGTATCTGCCAGAACACAATTTGTAATTCAGTGGGGAGAAGTACATGTGCATCGTACCATCCGATAGAGCTCACTACAGCACGTGTGGTGTTCATTTATTTGTTTTCGACGAAGTCTTGCACCCAATCCTTGACCCGATCATGACAATTGTGCAGCAGAGTATCTTCATTGAAAGGGCAACCATTCTCAATCACAAACTTTAGCACCTCCAAATGACCATTTCTTGCAGCACTCATGCATGTTTGTTCTTCCCATGGACAGCCATGCTCATGGGCATATTTGAGGCATTCCAAATGGCAATTTTGAGCAGCAACTTGGCATGTGTTTTCATCCCATCGACAGCCATTTTCACCGGCATATTTGAGGATTTCCAAATGTCCAGCTGCAGCTGCATTGAAGCAAGTCTCTTCATGCCATGGACACCCATTTTCATGGGCATATTTGAGGATTTCCAGATGACCCTTGAGTGCAGCAGCCATGCATGTGGTGACACCCCATGAACAGTCATTCTCGTGCGCATATTTGAGGCAATCCAATTGGCCACTCTCAGCTGCAATGATGCATGTGTCTTCATCCCAATCACAGCCATTCTCATGGGCATATTTGAGGCAATCCAAATGGCCATCTTCAGCAGCACTACTGCATGTGTTTTCATACCAATCACAGCCATTCTCATGGGCATATTTGAGGCAATCCAAATGGCCATTTTCAGCAGCACTACTGCATGTCCTCCAACACCAAGGACAGCCACTCTCATGGGCATATTTGAGGGTACCAAGATGGCCATTGCCAGCAGCGGCCGCGCATGTAGCTGCACTCCAAGGACACCCATTTTCATGGGCATATTTGAGGCAATCCAAACGGCCAAATTGTGCAGCTTTATAGCAGGTGTGTATGCCCCATAGACAACCATTTTCATGGGCAAATTTGAGGCATTCCAAATTACCGTTGGCTGCAGCAGCCCGTGATGTGAGTTCGTTCCAATCAAATCCCTTATTCCGGGCCCATTGAAGCACAAGAAGACTACCTGCTTTTGCAGCTGCATAACAGACGACCCACTCTTGGATGTCTTGGTGACCAGTGCCAGTATGACGGTGAGTGAGCCAGTACTCTGCACGGGGCACGCTGGAGAAAATTGCACCGTAGAAAGTATTTGTAGGACTTGCCGAGCATATTTGTCCCTCTTGATCATCCGGACCAAAATCATATATCTTTGGGGGATTCTCTACAGTTTCACAGTATGCTTTGTAGAGCTCCTTCATTTTATGACTCACTGGTGCCACAAAGGCAAACTGGCCCATGCCAACCAAAGGGAATATCTTGTTGATCCAAATATCCTCATGCCTCAAACATGATTCTGCTGCTGAGGCAATAGTTCGATTGGTAGATGCTTGAGATGCGTCCGAATCATCTTTGGTTTGGCTTTTCGCTCTCTTATGCTGCTCAGGTAGGGCAATGCTGCAATCGACGCCTCTCTTCCCGCTGTCTTCCTCCATCTTCCTGGCTACCACTACCAGGTACCAGCCACCGGTACGGTAGTGCTGCGGTCTCTTGATGTCTGCTGGAAGCTGCAGAGGGTCCGTCGACTGACTTTCGAACGCGCCTCTGTGAGTTTGCCGGTCGTACCTTTGTTTTAAAAAACGTGCTGGCACTTGAGTGAGAGACACCGCAAGATCGGCGCACAATTGTCCGGGTTGGTTGACTGAAGTCACCTCTCCTTGATCCTGTTGGTGTCTTACGAACAGCAATTGATACACAACAACTAACTAGTTGTTTTATGTTCATCGGTTAACTTTTACAGAATGTATGGTGTTCCTCTAGCTAGAGGCGTGTAATTGGTGGCATAAATAAATGTGGCAAATGTAGTACATGCACTACCCAACATGAATGAAGCTGAGAAAAATCTTGCGGTGGAGGCTCCTCCAAGTGCTTCACCCTCGCTTCAAAAACGCAGTGATGAACCGGGCCGGTTGATGCAAATCCCCCCGTGTGCCTATACCACCGTAAAGTCTCCCAAATTGCTACTGGCATCCAACGTTCGTAGAGGACTGGTTTGGTGATTATTGTTGTTGTCGTCGTCATTACTCTGTTGGGGAGTCTTGACAGGGGACGACGGTCCCACCGAGGGAGATGGCGTCGTGATCCCTTCGGCAAAGCGTCGAAAGTTTTGAAATGCGGCCGCTGGAGGCGGCACGGATGGTTGTCCCAATTGTCCCAAGAGAGGAATATGATTGTCGGGAAGCAACGGGTCGCCACCACCTCCATCGAGAAGGGCACTGCGATCTCTTCGTCGAGCCGCATACAGTGCCGCTGCCACAACCAGCAGTGTGGGTGCCCACACAAAGAATAGCCACCACACGGGATGGAATCGCATGGTGGCGACAAAGACTGCCGATTCGGCTCCCACTAATCGGCAAAATAAAAAGAAGGCCCGTAGACCGTAACACGAGGCGCAAACCACCATGGGCGCCAAAGCTTGCACTTGTAGGTTGATGCGTTCGGCCTCGTCGGCAGGAGGAAAGGTTGCAAAGCTGATTTGAATTCGTTCTTTGGTGATTTGAATGCACATGAGCACAAATGCAGCCCCGACGGCCCATGCCAGAGATTCCATGAGAATTTGTATTCGAAACAGGAGTTCCGACTTTTCTATTTTTTCAATGGGTTCGCCCGTCGTCAGGAGCAACAGGTAGACTATCAGTATCCCCGACATGAGGACGGAAACTCCTCCCAGCACTCGATTGAGCGTGCGAATCAAGAGTGATCGCTGATGGTAATGTCGAGAGATTGTTGTCGGACTGGCTTGCAGCGATGTTTGCAGCCAGAGTTCTGTCACGGAAGAAAAGGCGAGAAATTCGAATATGCTCCGCCCTGCTAGATCCAAGAGAATGTAGCCGATTTTATCCGAGAACGCTCTGCCGAAGATGGGAGCCACTAAACCAGCAAAGTCGGCATAGGCAATGGCTTCCGACAGTGTGGCGCACCTGACGTCGAAATAAAACATATCGAATCATGAGAATGAGATTACTGACTCTCCAGAAACAACTTGTCACCAGACACAGCAATAACTAGCTTACCATAACAGGACGTGGAAGCGCCTCCGAAGAGTCCATCGTGAACTCCCACCGTTAAAATGAAAGGAAAGTCTCCAGGAGGTCAACAGCCACAAAGGGATGGACAACATCAGGCCGATGACGCCTGCCATTGTGTGAGCCCCTGACATGGTTGCAAGTAGTGTGGATTGCAAATAATACTGAAATAACAGATTGGTGTTCTATGAGACAGTGGAACCTTGAGCAGGACACAGCGACTGACTCTTGACGGTTCGATATAGGCAAATACTATCAAAAGTGCTCGAGTGACCTATTCTTTCTGTGCGTTCTGGGAATGATGGGAGTGTCAGTCGAGTCGAGTGTTCAAATATAAAAATATAACCCTATGCCTTCAACCAATGGCTAAGGGAGTCTCTCCAAAGGCAAGTGTTGCTCTGTTGCAGTGATTATCTCTTCTTCCTCCTGAGGTCTCGTTCTTTCCTTGCAAGAGGACTTCAAGTCTTGTTGACCTTTGGCACTCTTGCAACGTTGTCATCAAGGCCGAATGATGACTTCGCGAACTGTCACGGTTCGAAAAGGCGAAGAAGCGAGCGCCTTCGGCCCTTGAGAATTCACATAATCCAGCTGAGCTGTTTATCGAAGCCGAAAAGAGTTTTGAAGGTTGAGCTTTGTCTCCTCAGACGCAAAAACCACGGTTTCTGAGCCCCAAGGAACCCACTATTTGGCTCTTTCTAGCTAGCATTGATCGTCTCTCTTCCTTCGGTGGACAACATTATTATACTAGTAGGAAAGTTTGATGAGTACTTGTTTCAGTTTGGACTATTCTTATTGCTGACACCAGAGAGCTGCAACCCAAAAGTGATCAGACGTTGCCATCACATGATCACACGGAAGCAGCTCAGAATATATATTGATGCTATTAATACTGTATATTGTGTTTCTTCATAAGCCTCGCGGCAGTGCACCTTGATGAATGCAAAACCTAGTCGCTTTCCGGTTGAGGATCCAACCTCTTTCTCTCTCGTTCATGCCGGGATGATCTCTGTTCGTTTCTCAGCCACAGTTGAATACGGTATTGTCGCATCTGCAGAGATATATTCAAAGGGACTTCCTGCTTAAAGGTCCTCATCATCATCTTCTGGCAGAGGCTGCGCAGCAGCGGAAGCGATTTCCAACTCATACTGGCGCTTGGTGGCGGCGTCAATGGTGAACTCCGGCGGCTGAAGAGCAGGAGCCTCCACAAAGTGAAGCTGGTTGTCTCCAGCCAACTTGCGAGCCTATAGTTTTGCAAAGCAATGAATGAATGTGATAAAGCAAAGGATTCCTTAACAGAAAAGGGTCATAAACAACTTACTAGCCAGAGAAATGGTTTCTCGAAATTGTAATTCGACTTGGCAGAGATGTCAAAGTATTGCAAGTTCTTCTTGCGATGAAAGGTGATCTGCTTTGCTTTCACTTTTCGGTCCTTGATCTCCACTTTGTTACCAGTCAAAACAATCGGGATATTCTCGCAAACTCGAGTCAAATCACGGTGCCAGTTGGGAACATTCTTGTAGGTGATGCGGCTTGTCACATCAAACATGATGATGGCGCACTGGCCTTGGATGTAATAGCCATCACGGAGCCCGCCAAGTTTCTTTCAGAGAGCAAGGAATACATTGTGTGAGCCGCTACTGTCCTCTATCCACCTTGTAGACATAAAACGACCACAATCACTGTAATAGTACAACACGCTGTCTTTTGATTTCTCCGATCATCTACTTACCTCCTGGCCAGCCGTATCCCAGACGTTGAACTTGATTGTGCCACGGTTGGTGTGGAACACCAAGGGGTGGACCTCAACGCCCAGTGTTGCAACATACTTCTTCTCAAATTCACCAGTCAAGTGACGCTTCACAAAGGTTGTCTTTCCAACACCGCCATCTCCGACAAGAATCAGCTTGAATTCGGGGATTTCCTGTGCCGACACCCGTGTCATTGGAACAAAGAGGAATGAGTAGAGTGTGAGTTGCAGTTGGCAAAGTCAGCATCCATCGCGGCGACAATAGAGGAGTTCCAACATCATGGAAGAGTAATGAAGCCATTCCAACAAGCCGCGGCGTGATGAACAATATACATGTACAGCTTGTCACGCTGGTGAAGACTCCGGAAAGTGTGACAACGTGACAGCGTCATTGTCATTGGAGTTTCTGTCAATGTTGCGCGCAGATCTACGAGAAGGCAGGTTCCTTTCTCCTCATCGTCCATCGATAGTTTGTCTTTCTTACCATTTTGATGCTTCCTCGAGGAATGACAACAACAACAACTGAAACAAGAAGAGTTCAAAGACGCCCTCTCGGATTTTGTGTGAAGCTCGGAACGTTTTTTGTGTTGTTGGGTTGCTCGTAGAAAAGCCTTAGCCCTAATGCCTTTTGGCCTCATTCATTTTTGCCGTAAACGGTAGGTAAGTACCGTAAGGGTAAATCGGTACCGGTACCGGTACCATTGTTTGGAAGCTGTGTACTCCAGATTTTGCCCATTGGTATGATACGGTGAACCTTCTTAAAACTTTTCAGAGGACACCGAAGAGATAGATGTAGAGGTTGACAGCTCGTTCATACCCTACAGGAGAGATGCACGGGGAGGGATGCGCAGTTTCCGAACACTGCGCCCAAGAGCCATCCTGCTACCGGTATGTAACACGTAATATTAATCTTAACACAATCATCTCACCGGAGCTTACATGTAGTGGGGTAGCCATGATCAGTGATTTATGTGCCATCTGTTGCCTGCCTCGCTTGTTTTCCCATGTCTTTCATAGGTACATTAGAAAAGATAGCCCAGCACTGATGGGTGACTGACTCAGTTAGACGAAGGAGTGACAGTCGAGCTATTGAGTAACCACAGATCCAACCAAACGGTCATTGGCAATTCGAGCTCAGGGAGTAAGTTTACTTAAATCAGTCACTCTTTGCTGAAATCGTATGGTCTTTCTTACATCAACGAATTGGAGATATTCAAAACCAGAATATCAGTGGCACCGGCATCATGAAGCTGGTCCATTTTGTCGTTTACTTCCTTTTTGAGAACCAAACTGGAAACTGACTTGGACTGGCCATCATCCAGAGTTGTGATTGTGGGAGATCGCTTTCCAGGGGTAATTTTCACGGCTTCTGCCAGCAGGTCGCTACTGACATTGTAGACAATCATGACATATTTCGTGGCTGTGATGTAGCCTTCAATTCGCCTCTTGATCAGATCCACGAGGTCTCCATGTTTAGCATGAGGGTTCGAAATCAAAATGGCCTGAGTTGACAAAATATCAGCTACGATTTCCAAACCAGCAGCCTGACAATATTTCCAAAAATGATACCGTTAGTGCCCCTCCTGATTGAAAATCAAAATCAATTTTCTGTCCTTCTGGTTCTTCATTCAAAACCTACCTTCATGGTAGTTCCTGTTTCTACCAAATCCACCACTGCATCTGCCAGACCCAATCCACAGGCTGCTTCCACTGATCCAGACACAAATTTGATGCTGGTTGTGACACCCTTTTTAGCATCCAGGGGACCAAAGAATTCCCTGGTCAAGTCGGGAAAACTGGTCACAATTCTCTTTCCCGCCAGATCTTCCACATTGGTGATTTTGTCCACGACGGGAGCTTGGACACACAACTTGCAGGCCCCAAAGCCCAAATCCATGATATGCTTCACTTCCACCATACTCTCCTTGACGACATCCAATCCAGTAATCCCAATATCGACGTTACCCTCTCCCACATACTTGGCAATATCCGATGCGGGTAGGAACACAAGAGTGATGGGTTGTCCGACACACAAGGCCACATCCAAGCGTGGTTCTCGACGAAACTCCAATCCAGCGCCCTTGAGCATGGCAACCACCTTCTCGTGAAGACGACCTTTTTTGGGAATCGCAAATCGGCAGTTGCCTGGGGGACTTGAGTTGGCGGCGGACATGGTTGCAAAAAGAAAATTAGCTAGGTGAAGAAGAAAGGTTTTTGCTTTTGAGGCTCCTCCACCAGAACGAATGAATGGAAGGTTACTGCAAGCAAGAACAAAGACGAAGCAAATGCAAAAGAGCCCAGCCTTTCGGACAGAAAGCTCGATGGAGGTTTGGATGTTTGGATGTTTGGATGTTGAAGGAGGAGGGAGAAAGAACCAAGGAAAAGATGATGGGATGAGAACCACGTACTTTAGAAGGTGCGCACGTTCGCGCGAAATACGCATGACTGAATCTTCAACTTGCGTCCAACAACTCGAATGAATCTGCGTGGGAGTTGTCATTGGCACCTTCAACGCAACTCTGAGAAAGTTGCAGGCAGGGATTCAAGGACTACCGGAGCAATGAGACTGCAGCACAGAAGAGCACTATCCGGCTGAACTGGTACTAGCTAGATGCTTCTTTCAATTAACTATTTGCATCTGAAGCTGTAGGAAAAGATCCCATGCAGCCGAAAAACAGATTTCATCCAGGGTCTCTGCTTCGTTTTCATGCGCCGAGGAAGGTTTATGTATTTATATTTTGGTGGACGACTGGTTTCCTCTCAACCTCATCATGATTTCGTTTCATTATTATTTGAGGCCATTCAAAGGTTGTATTTGTGGACAATATCTTCCTCGGGGATTCCTCCCAGCTGCATGGATCGTCGTGTTGCCTTTGTCACAGCGCTGATTGTTGCAGCTCTAAATCCGCTGCGGAGAGAGAGAAACAGTAGTAGATTGTAGTGTATTGCGTAAAGTTGAGGACAAAAATACGGAAAAGAGACGCCAAAAAATTAGCCGAACAGAGGGGGGAAACACACACGAACTGATGTCCTTGACGCCACAATCAAACAAACAAAATAGCAAGTAAAAAGAAAAACTCTCTTACCCCGCTTCCAAAGCTTCCACACCGGCAATCGTTGTTCCTCCTGGAGATGTGACACCATCTTTGAGTTCTCCTGGATGTTTTCCCGTTTCGAGTACCATTTCAGCCGCTCCCTTGACGGTTTGTGCGGCAAATGCCATGGCAATATCACGCGGCAAACCGGCCCGCACTCCGCCATCGGCCAATGCTTCAATGAATTGAAAGACATAGGCAGGTCCACTACCACTCAACCCCGTGACGGCATTCAAGAGGATTTCCTTGACTTCTCGGGCTAATCCGACACTTCCAAAAATTTTCATGGCAATGTCTCGATCGGAATCATTTCCAGCCAGTGACCCCAAGGCAAATCCCGATGTGGCTTCTCCCACCAAACAAGGAGTGTTGGGCATGACACGGCAGACTCGAAATCCCGGTAGATTGGTTTCCAGTGTTTCGAGGGAGACTCCGGCAGCAATGCTGATAATCAAGGGAGAGCCATCATTAGGAGACGGGTAAGCCGCCACGACATCTTTACAAACCATGGGGATAATGTTGGGTTTGACGGCCAAGACAATGGCAGATTTGGCGGTAGTGCATACTTCCGCGTTGTTTGTAGTGGCTTTGATTCCCTTGGATCGTGCCTTTTCCAAGGATGGCTCAAAGCGATCCGAGCAGATGATATCACTGGGACTGTCGACTGTTTTCTTGGCAATGAGACCATCCATCAAGGCAGATGCCATCATGCCAGATCCTGTAGATAGCGACAAGACAAACAAATAAAATATAATTAGATCGATGTACCGAAGATACAAGAGAGACCAAAAAGGCGAAAGAAGAAAATCAGGGGTATCCTACCGATAAATCCAAGAGAGAGAGTCATTTTCGATGCTTGTTGGTTTGCTGTTGGGGTGTTCTTCAATAACAATTTTATGAGGAAGAATGGGAGAGGAAGTATTTGCTTTGAAGGAGAGAGGTCTCAGTTATCCGCGGGAGTTCAGACACCCGCGGGAGTTGGGATGTCAATAGAGTTGTTGTGGTTGTTGATGGATGATGGATGGCCATGGCTTTTCTTCGGCTTTTTGAGAAGCACTCCAAGTGGATCTTTTACCTCGGCAGGTAAACTGCCTGAGTCCTCTACCCCTTTAATGGCAAATATTCTGTCTGTGGGATCCCCCTGGTTTTTGTCTGTGGGATCCCCTCGTTTTGTGTCTGTGGGATCCCCTATTCCGGTGAAGCCAGGGTATAAGGATAGAGATAATGTAAGCTGGCAAAACTGGAAATTGAAGGTTCAATAAAAGTTAGGGGTAGGAATATGTCAATGTAATTTAAGGTTAGTGCACTCAGGACAAAAACACAATAAGCCAGCAGGTGTTGTAAATTTAGAGTTACAAGATCGAATGATAGCTGTAAATTATGGGTTAGCCCGTGGCTACACCAATGCTAGCTAGCTTAAAATATAAAACAGAAGGTTACAATGAGGGAATGATAGTGGGCGGCAACACACGACGAAGTCGGGTGTTGTCGCCAGGGCTAGCATACATAAAAAAGAAGGTTATAATGAGGGAATGATACCGGGCGGCAACACACGACGAAGTCGGGTGTTGTCGCCAGGGCTACCTTGAAAGAAGGATGCAATCTCAAACATGATCCTCTTTCTTCTATTTGTCTTTCTGCAGAGGTATCGCAGCTCCCGCTGACTTAGTTGGCATGTTTTCGAATGCGGATCTTCGAAGAACTCTGCTTTTTGAACCCCGCAAGGATTCAATGGACAACCCGGGGATGCGTTCGTGAGTGATCTCGCCCCAAACGAAAACGAAACGGCCGGAACCAAACAGCCGAACCCGTCCAACCACTGCATCATTGCATCGTTTGTATTGCAACTCGATCACCAAGGCAATACTTTACTAGTTAATAGTAATACTGGTCGCCATGAGCCGCCCACGGCTAGAGCCAGAGTTCCGAGGCATTTTTGGCCCCAAGGGAGACTCGGAAGAATGGCTGGAAGCCACGTCCAAGTTTCCCAATGGCGTGCCTCGTTTCAATTCCAAGCAAGAAGCAATTGATTTCATGACGGAATACAACACGCACCATGGCGGATCCAACCCCGACTATCCACACCTGATGCACATTTTTACAATGCTGGTGAGCTGGGAACAAATCGAGACCATTCTACTGCCGAACATCGAAAAGGCCCGCAAGGAACCCTCTACTGCAGAACCCGTACCACGAGATCATTTGGACGATATTACCGGGGAAGACTGCGAGCCACAACGAGAAAGCAACAATATTTACGAACAGCCAGCGGCACACAATTGCATCAAGGACGTTCTCTTTCGACTCAATCTTCCCATTCACAAGTGTACCACGCCACAATCCACCATGAATACCCTCAAGTATCTCTTTTTTCACATGAAATGCGGCATTTTTGTCATGATCCGCAATGGACAATTGCGCATCTTTGCGCCCTTTGTCAATGGAGATTTCCGAAATACATGGGGAGATCAACTGGAAGTCGAAGGAGACGGGACATTGGATAACTATTATCGTGAAAAGCGAAGGTTCTATCGAGCGGAACAGGTAGAAAAAGACAAGTTCAAGTGGTGGGCCAATGGAAACATTATCTGTAATGAATTGACACAGGAAAAAGACAAGGGGAAAATGCAATATTGGGGTGGTGAGTACCATAACAACAGTTGGTTTGGCTTGTCGTCATTTATATTTCGCTAACAGCATTGCTTTTTTGTTCTCTTCTCTCCACATTCAGACCATTTCATGAGCGCCCTTCGCGACATGCTGGGGGAAGCCTGCCGGACACGACAAATGCCCGATTGCGAATTCTTTCTGAACAAACGTGACTATCCACAACTTAAAATCAATGTCCCACGAGGAGGTGTCCCCGTCGAACCCTACGGATTCATCTTTAATAAGGACGATCGAGATCCGGACCAAGATGTCGACCTCTACGAACGCGACAAATACAAAACGTACGCACCAATCGTATCCTTTTATGCGGCCGCACCCGATCGATTCTCCGACATTCCATGGCCATCGTCCGAAGATTGGGAGGCGGCTTGTGGATTGGTCTTTCCGCAAACCTTCATGTGGAAAAAGAAGGACAAGGAAGGTGTGCCCGAATTTGGGGGCAATCCGCGGGACTTGTTTACCGAAGAAAACTTTCGAAAGTTTGAACGAGGCTGGTACGACGATCGCGTCGCCACGGCATTTTTCCGAGGGACCGCCACGGGAGGTGGAACCACTATTGATAACAATCAGCGTCTCAAAGTGGCACACTTGAGTCATGAATGGAAGGATGATCCCGAAAAGGGCGGTGAAGAGCCATTTTTGGACGCTGCCATTGTGGGATGGAATCTGCGTGACAAAAAGATTGCCCAAGGTGGAATGAACTACCTCAGGCCCAATAACTTTGATTTTACAGCCGGAAAGCATCACTTCACGCCCATTTACGAACAATCCAAGTACAAGTATCTGGTCTACGTCGATGGGCATTGTGCGGCTTGTCGTTATGGTTTCATGATGCGCTTGGGAAGTGTCATTCTGAAGGTGGCACCGCGTCAGGTGGCAGATCGAATGTGGTACTTTGACTTGTTGCAGCCTTATGTGGATCACGTCCCTGTCAAGGCAGACTTGTCGGACCTGGAAGACCAGATTCGTTGGTGCCGAGAAAATGACGAAAAGGTAAGAGACATCAACCCTTTAGCCGTCTGGATCAGTATTGTTCGTGGCACTCCTGACATCCGGGCCTTCCTTGCTCTTCTGCTTTCTCTCGGCAAAGTGTCGCGAAATTGGTGAGAACGCCAAGGCTTTTTACGAGAAGTATGTAGGTCAAAGTGCCTTGTTGGACTACATCGAAATGGTCTCGTAAGTATAGGAACGCAAATGTTGTTGTGTGTGGTACGCTTCCAACATCGCTCGAACAAGCTAAGTATTATTTTCATTGCAACCTCTGCACACAAAACGCAGCAAGCAAATTGCCAAGCGCTTCGTTCCGGCACCGACATGGTGGGAAGCAGCCACCCCGGCCAGAGACCCTCCCAAGCTCCAGCCACCCGAAGGCAAATGCTTTATGGACAAAAAGAACCGCACATCCAAGTGGTGTAAACGTTGCCAAGAAGATATGGAGGCAGACGATGCCAAGAAAAGAGAAGAGGAGGAACGAGAAAGGGCCGAGAGAAAGAACAAGCGCCAGTCAAAGACGAGTCTTCGAGATCGAATGAGAAAGAGGGCCAAGCTAGAGGCCGAGAAGAAGCCGAAGGGAAAATAGATTGTGGTGCAAAATGGGCTTCATCGCGGGCTCATGCCCACCAATTGTGTACATTCCTAGCTTCTACATTCCTAGTACCAGTCCTAAACAAAACTTCGTTAGGTGTATCAACAGAACTATACGAGATCAGACGACCGGTTAAGTTCAGGCGTCCAGTAGGATTAGCCCTTGCGTTGATTGCGGTGGCCTCTGTTCTGGCTGGAACCAGATGTACACCGTGAACTGGGCACTTGGCAGATTGCAACTCGGCTCTTGAATGGAAAACACACACCACACCTGGAGAGCAAGCAACGTCCTCTTTCCACAAGCAAACCTCGCCTCGGATGAATCATCCCTCATTCACACGGCTTTGGCCTTTGCTGTGAATGATTTTGTATCCAAGCTCGTCTTGTAATATCCCAGAGCCATGGCACCTGCCCAACTCAGAGCATGGGCCACCGCCCAATACGCAGTGCTTTTGAGCAAATCGGCCTGCCGAAGTTGATGAACTGCGAAACTCATCCCTGTCCAAAGAACAAACTTGTTCACGCCCAGGTTCAAACGCAACATGGCCGCTGCAATTCCAAGACAGGCTGACGAATGCATCAGATGAGAGTTCATGTCGTCGGCAATAGTGATTGCCACCCCAACAATCAAGATGATTGCATAGGCGTAGACTAAAACTGTATGGGACGCAACGTCGCGTCTTCTTAGCGTCATTAGAAATGCATTGAATTGAATCACAAAGATGAAGTTCAAGTGTGGATTGTATCTTCTAGCTCCAACCAGACATACTCCAGTAGCCACAAATTGAACAGTTGAAAAGAACCACTTCCAAAGGGCGGGAAATTGCAAATCTCGAATAGTTCTGGACGGATATTCTTGTAGATTGGAAACAGCATCAGCAGAAGCATGCGTGCATAGTATGATCACCAGATTCATCCAATGCAAGGGTGGTTTGTGGTGGGGTGTCCGATACGTGTCTTCATAGAAAAACAGAAGCATAAAGGCGAAAGATCGACACGTGAAGACCATGGCATGGAGTCGAGCTTCAGGCCATATTCGATACCCACTGAGAATTCGTCTCTTGGGCAATGCAAAGATAAAACTGGACACGTGCAAGAGGAAATGATGCACTAAAAAGACCAGGGTGCCATGGTTGGGCCCGAAGTTGCCATCGTTTCGCAAGTGGTAGTATCGGTACGCAAAAGAACCCAGGCAGGAGAATCCAAGGATCTTGTGAATGTTCCCAACATCTTCCTCAGAGAATAAAGGCAACAACATCTTGTCCTCGCTCATGTCGGTAGTCGTCATGGCGTCGTGGCATGGTACCTGGTACCGGTATCTATTGAGTGTGTGCGCTGTGGTGGTTGTTCAGTTGGGATGAGGCAAGCGGCTCGTACGAGTACGATGTACTAGTAGTGGCGTGGTTGTCAGTGGAGATCTTTTCCTCCTCCCAGCTTCAACAAGCAGCTCGTACCGGCTTATCTTCTTCAGCGGGCAACTTGGATCCTGTTCGTTCTTGTGCCTGCAACCTGTTCAACCTGGGTCTTTATGAGGATTATCAAAGGGAAGCCAAGGAACATCAAAGGGAAGCAAAGGTATACAAGAGCTGCTTTGGCAAGTGGGCAGCAAGACCCGATTATTTCGTCAGAGAGCCCAGTTACCATGCAGGGGAGCAGCAGAAGGATCGAGAAGAGGTGATCTTTCATCTTTCCAAGAACATTGAAAACGGTGGAAGAACCAGTATCTGCTACCGGTTCACAGACAGCGGCATTAGAGATAGAGACCCTGTACCAGGAGAAACGGAGATTACTCTTTGGCTTGAAAGTCGTCCAGTCCATGTTTTTTGGCGCTTTCAATGATGGGAAGAAGCATCTTCGTCACCAAAGACATGGACAATAGTTGAATCGCCCGTAAGTTGGAAGCCACGGCACGTTCAAAAGCAACCCATTGAAGTGAAACCAACCATTCTTGCAACCATCCAGTCTTTGGAGACTGCTTCAGCCACATGGAAGAGTCTGGAAGAGCCCACGTGAAGGAGAAGGACGACAAGGATTATGGCTTCCTTCAAGCTGCGCTGGGACCTGGGGCCTGCAAAAAGCTGCTTCATGCCAAAACTGGACTATCTGTCTTGTAAGCAGGAAGCCAGCTTCAGACTAATAGATGGGGTAATAAGGTTAACGCTGCAAATTCATCTAAATTTTCGATCAAAGAAATGGTTTTACACTGTACCTCATCTACCTTTATTACAGAACTGGCGTCGAGGTTGCTGAGTTGAAAAGCGAGCGATCGTGCGAGTTGCACAGTTGCACGTATCTTGGGCAAACCGGTACATGACTCGAAACGCGAAGATTTACCACTGCGTGCCACCGCTGGGTACAGTTTCGTTTACAGTGGGGTCACGGTGACCCTCTTTCAGTGAAAAAGGACTGAGTTTTTCACCTCCAAAGCCTTCACTCAAGTGCATGCTCCATGTATAGCAGCTCCTGTTGTGCATAGTGCATGAATAGGTACAACATGTACTTGATATCGTTTTCTGCGATGCTTGGAGACAAGCTGATCTTCTCAAGTAAAATTATCTGGGCGACAACACAACAACACAACGACACAGCAAATCCACGAAAAGAAAGATGAGAGCAACCAACTTTGAGATTATCCCCTTTGAAGATGACGAGTGGGAGCAAGACACTTCCGGTAACGACAGTCAACATGATTTCCAGGAATCACTTTCATCGTCGGGGTATCCCCCCTTTACATACTGGGATGTACTGAGACAGGAGAGCTCTGATGTTCCCTTTGAAACTCGGCCAGGATCCAGCGTCGTCAAGATCCCAACTTCATCCGTCAAACCACGAATACCCAATGCCAGATCACACCTCAGGTTGGCCCACTTGGCCTCCATCCTGGCCATTTCTCATCCATGGTTTGGTATTGACCGTGTTTTCCACAATGCTCAAGCAGCTGGAGTGTTGGCCTTGAAGCATTTGAACGAACGAAGCCCTTCTGTCATGCCGGATCTACCCGAGAGAATGGATGCTTGTCCGGATCTGTTCTTCACCATGGACATGTACGATACCCAATTCAGCCCAATCCACGCGGCGCGACAATTTGCCAATGACATTGTGGGGCCAACTCATTCCTTGGCAACTCCCCATCCAACCGCAATTGCTGGAGCTACCCTGTCAGAGGTGTCCAAGACATTGGCCATTCTGGGAGGGGTGAACGAAATACCTCAAATCTCACACATCTCGGCTGCCGAGTCGCTGGATAACACAGAAACGTATCCATACTTTTGTAGAAGTTCCGCTTCCAACTCGGGTATGGCTCAGGGGTTGGCTGTTTTCATGCACAGTTTGAGCGAAACGTCAAGACACGTGGCAATCTTGTATGCCAGAGATGAGCTTGGTCGATCCCATCACAACAACTTTTCAGACATGGCAAGAAGACTCGGGATATCTGTCTTTAGTGCACCCTATGAACTTCATGATCCCAAGAGCCTCGATGATGCCATCAACAAGGTGATCAATTCTGGGTACAAATACGTATCATTGGCTCCTGCTCAAAGTACTTTCAACGTGGTGGCACAAAGGGCATTTGAACTTGGGTTGGGTGGTCAAGACTATGTGTTCTTCCTTTCAGAGTCCTGTGTAGATGTGATCAGTGCGGGATATACACTGAATGCCACCACCGAGTATGGGGCAGCCTCCATTCTGAATGGCACTGGGATTGTGTTGCTCCATGCTCCGGGGAAGGAGGAATATGTGGAATCAATGCAAAAGGAATTCCTCGATGATCCAGCTACGATGGCATACTACACCCGCAAGCATCCTGCCAAAGACCTTTTCACAGCCGTGGGGTTTGACTTTGATCCTGCACTTGATGCCCAGGTGTCCAACTTTGCTGGAGCTCTGCAGAACTCGCAATACGATGCCGTCATTGCCGCGGGCCTTGCAGCTTGCCAGTCCGAGACTGACTTCTTCACTGGACCAGAAGTCTACGAAAACATCAAGAATCTGGACTTTAGTGGTTCTTCCCAAATTCCAACTCATTTCATGAATGACACCTGCTCCAGAGACATGCAGTACTTTGGCTACGTCGTGCTGAATCTACTCGCCAAAGAACCCAAAGATGGCCTCATCCGCTTTGAGACTCGAGGGGCAGCCATGGTGGATGCCAACGAGAACGTGATTACACTCCAGAACTACACTTTCCGAGATGGGACATCTATCGCACCCCCAAGCATCCCTGACCAGGAAATTGACATGAACAAAATTCCTCTGCATTTCCAGCTCCTGGCATGGACCGTGGCCTTCATTGTGATGCTCTTGGCCACAGCTCTGGGCGTGTGGACGATTGTGAAACGAAATACTGCCTCTGTTCGCGTCCGACAACCGATGTTCCTTTCGATGTGCTGCGTGGGGACTTGCCTGCTGGCTAGCTCCATCATACCTATGGGATTACAAGAACCCACAGAGAACCTTGGTGCAGCTTGCATGTCCTCGCTGTGGCTGTCCTCGGTTGGCTTTGTCGTGGGCTTCTCCGCATTGTTTTCAAAGACTTGGAGAGTGAATCGACTCTTCAACAACGCACAACGATTCCGCCGGCATACTGTCCAAGCTAAAGATAGATGTTCTCGTCCCATTCCTGGTTCTCTCATCCATCAATGTGATAATACTCGTGGCAATGACAATTGTGGCTCCACTTCAATGGACCAGACAGTTCACTGACAGCCTGGATCCGTATGGACGTCCCCTGGAGTCCTATGGATCTTGCACTGCCTCCAATGACAACACCAAGTGGTTCCTTCTTCCCCTCCTTGCAATCAACTTCTTCGCCGTTCTTTTGTCCAACATTCAAATCTTCCTTTCTCGAAACCTCCCACGAAATCTGAACGAGTCGAAGGAAGTTGCGTTTTCCATGCTCATGCTCCTGGAAGCATGCTTGGTTGGGATACCAGTCCTCATCGTGGTTAACGAATCACCTACGGCACGATTCCTCGTGTCTCGCAATTCTGGCACCTCAGCTTCCAACTAAAGTGAGACAGCAACGAAGCGTCTCGGTTGTTGTTTCAACGAATTCATTGAACCTTCGATCTTCGTTTAACTCTGTGAGGCGGTCAAACACGTTGAATCTTCGTTTTTCGATTAGCTCTCTGAGGTGGACGTCATTCCGAGCAAGCAGATCATCCATGGGGGCGAGTGCGACATCAAACGGAGGGATTGATAGAGTGCGGAAGCAACTGATACTCGAACACGCTGAAGATCAAACCGGAGGGCCAACCGAGTTGCATCCTGACGATGACGGATCTGAGTTTGCCGTTTGATGAGGTTTACTCTAATGCTAGCTGGTACCTGGTGATGCCAATTGGTCTTTCTAGATTCATCATAGCATGTTGGTTTGAGCACTGTTTTGATATGTTACCTACTAGCTAGTGTTGCCGTCCAGAATGTATCACAATGGGAACGTTGCTGGTTCGACCAAGTTACGAGGCCACGCGGGGGGCAATATCAAGTCCCTCGGACCTGAGCCCATCTTGGAGCAGCTGCTTGTTCTTATCAGTGGTTTCACGAAGACGCTTATCAAAGATAGATTTCGAGAGCACCTCAAGTTCGCCAGCCTTTTCTGGTCGGACTTCTCCTAGCTTGGCGAGTTGCTCAGGATTGAGGGGTGGTGCCTCATTCCAATTGAAGCTGTTTCCACAAAAAATGTTCAGCTCACGAGTACCATTGGCCGTAGCACTCTCTAACTTCGAACGGGCCTCATCCTGTGTCCTTGCCCGTGCAACAAGTGTTTTGGTGAAACCTCGAAGCTTCTCTCTCACGACCTCCGCCACGTAGACGGTTCCATTGATAACGTACTCGACCCAAATCGTCTCCTCTTCTTGGGCAAATTGTGCCGCCACCGCTTCGGAAGTCTTGGGTGCTTCAGCATCAGGTATGTGACCTTCTCCCCCGCACTGATAGATGTGTATGCAACCAGCCACCTTTGGCGGGCAGGATAAAGGTGAGACGCCGTAGACCAGCGAAAAGTTCCGTCTCAACCGCAATCTCCACTCCTGCAGTCTTACCTTCACATAGACAGCGTCGCAATGGGGGCACTTCTTGTAGATATTGCGAGGGTCGCGTGGGTCTGTGACATCCCATGTGAGACACTTGTTGGTCGTCAGAATGAACTGCTGAAGCGCCAGAGATAGGCTGACACCAGCCTTTCCATAGATCAGGTTCTGATCTGTGACCGAGGCCACATTTTCGAATGCCTCACGGAAAATGGATTCCTTCTCCTCTGCCACCACCTTGCGAACCAAATTCTGAGTGGCGATGACTGCCAGGTCGGTCTCATACGACTTGCTCGCTTCCACCAATTTGTGGCAGGCGTCGCTGGCCACTTTGATCCTGGCAAGCACGAGATTGATGGGCTTGTTGTACTTCCGAATACCAGACAGGCCTGTTAGAGCTGCAATCTGGGTGGAGCTCACTTTGAATTCTATTGGCTCGTGAAGTGTTCTAGCAATGAATTGCGCAAGAACGCATCCTTCTGTATCTTTTTCGATGAAAGTAATGTGCTCCTTCCGGATGCCTAGTCTATCGGCCACTTTGGCTCCGAGAGCTTCGGGAGGGTCGGCCCCTGGAGGTGCAGTGTCGGTGTGGGTTACAATTACGCGCACTTCGTCGGTGCCCAGGAAGTCCATCAAAGGTTCGACTTGTGCGACAATTAGATCAGCTCTATACTCGTACTTGATCACAGCATAGACGCCGGACAATGGCGTGCCCTCCACTGCAAGCTTCTGAGCGGCAACATGGGCCGCTACGTCCTCAGAGGACCCGTACCCTGGGGTACCAATGACAAAGATTCCGTGCTCGTCGTTATAGCCCATTTCCAACGTTCGAGTGCAACTCGAGGAACCTGCACCAGAAGCATGGGATGTGCGGCAAAGTTTGTTGACAACTCTGCTTTTGCCGTGGCCTAGCGGCCCAAGCAACGCGACTGCTTTCGCCTGAATACGCATCACAACGTCTCTTCCAAGTGAATTTATGAGGCCTCAGAGCGAGATTCGATTCACCTGCGGGCTGGGTTTTCGTGCATCTGCCAGAAGGCGTTCGGATCCATTGGCTATTGCGTTCTCCGATCCCCCAGTGACCTCGAGACTGCAATTATTATACTATCATAGAGAAATCTCAGGTCGGGTACGGGTACACATCTACGTACTACCGATAAATCGTGCATCTGTGGAAGGCGTTCTCCTCCGTTGGATCCACTTGCCCGTTGCGTTCCCCCCCAAAGACTCGAGACTGCAAATACATGTACAGTACCGGAAGCAAGAGAAGTTCAGTTTGGGTACACAAATACGTACCTTTGATTGGACTTCATGAAAGATATCATACTAGTAGAGTACTACTTCGAGCTTGGGGCTCGGAGGGTTTCTGCGAGCTCGACGTACGGCACCGTAGATATCGAAGCCTTTGTAGGCTTCTTCACGGACTTGCCCATGTGAGCCGCCGGGACCGACCCCAAGAGATTGACGTCAAAACCCAAACTTTCTTCTCCGCACGGGTAAAAACGGAACATTGACCCTGTTGAAAACTACTAGCTAGTATCCCTAACCTTCTACCGGTATTATTCGAATCGAATTGAATCGAATCGATTTTTAAACTTAAGATTCGATTCGACTCAATCATTCATTCCAAGTCGCTCAGTTCCTCCTTTCAAAGCCTAACTAAGCTACACAACCAGCAGCAGCCATCGCTTCTTATTGGCATCTTGGCTTCTCGGTAGATGTAGCTACCGGTAGCTAGCTAGCTGAAGGTGTTTGTCGAATTCCAGAGAGCTGGCGTGAGAGAGAAATAGGGAACAAATCAACAAGGCTACTCCCTTCACTTGGTTGGTGAAGCCATCTCGTCTTCGAAGGGATAACTGGAAGCATCAGCCAAAACTCTCCCATTAGCTGGTACCATTCCCTTCCAGCAGCTCAGCGGGTGTGCGGGCTTTTTGTTCCTTGGTAGACTCAGTACCAAATCCTACGGGGACAACAACACTTAGCTAGATTCCAGCGAGGCAACGAAAGCTATCGACTCGACTTGACTGCTCTTCAAAGACAGCAATCAAACCTAGCTAGAGCCCAGACTGCATCAATCTTCACAAACTGCTACAGCTGCCTAGCGGAACAGACGCAGACGACAAAATTGCCTCTAGCTAGCTTGTGGCGTGTGATGGCGACTTCCAAAGGCGATGTAGGTTCTCCTGGCGGAATGGTTAGATCTGGACGACGCAAAAAAGAGGTATTTTACAGCGTTATCTGGCCAGCTTTGCTAGAACAAGGATGGACGAAGGTAAGAAACTGAACTGGAGAGCTCTTACTACTGCTTCTTCCAGTGCACTGGAGGCTTTCTTGGCTGGTTCACACGTCAATGCTATGCTTAGATAGCTAGCTAGAAGCCAGCTCGGACTAACCTTCAACTCTTTGCGCCCTAATATGACTGCTTGCCTGTGATGATCACCGCCACAGATAGAGGGATCAGAAAGGATAGACGAGTCGGATAAAATGAATGCAAAACCGATTTTCGTTCCCAAGGTCTTGGAGTTGAAGCTGGAGCTCGAACCTGGGGAGGACTTTTATGACGATGAACTCCTGGTGATTGACCGGCTGCTTGAACGCAGAAACGAGATTGAATCTGCCATTGCTGACAGATACCTTGCAAAGGCGGGGATGCACTCTGGAGGGGCAACGCCAAAGGGGAAAGGCAAGGCTCCTCGTGCTTCAGACGCCTCGGCTGATGATCAGTGCCCAAAGGAAGACACAGAGATTGTTGCGGCAGAAACGGATGAGGGAAGGCTGATGGGCCATGCGGGGTCTCATTGCGAAGAGAAAGTTGCAGACGCGGTGAATGCACGGGGCGATTTGGACTGCGAGCAGCCGGCAAAGGAGGAGAACCTTGGTGGCGAGAACCCTGAGGAAAGCAGTGACGTCCGCGCGCAAAGTGTGAACTCTACCTGCCCCGATGAGGAACAGATCATGGCAAACAATGATGATAATGAAGAAGTGGTGGGAGAGGAAAAGGCTGTGGGCCCCGACGAGGACAGTAGTGACGATTTGTGGGGAAGCAATGACAAGGATGAAGAAGTGGAAGATGTGAACGACGTGGGTGCCGACGAGGAAAGTAGTGACGATATGTGGGGCGACAACGACGAGGATGTGGGGATGGAAGAGGTGAAGCTAGGTGACAAAGCTGAGGTGGAGCAAAGCAATGGCAAAAGTGAGCGAAATGAGCAGCAAAGACACATAGAAGTAGAAGATGAAACTGAGCACTCGAAAGATGCAGATTTCCAGACCGATCAGGTCACACCAGGCAACATCAAAGCTGAAGGCACCAGTGTTGACGACCGCCATTCAGAACAGGAGCCCACGCAACGACACGACCATGCTATAGAAGAGGAGCCATCTGAAACAACAGAGCACATGGCCGAATCTGAAACTGAGAACCAGGATGAAGATGCAGTGGCAGAACCAGCAGAGCAGCCAGACAAGACTGCCACTGCTAGCCGACGATCGAAGCGCAAGACCCGGAAACGTAAGGGTAGCGAGGGATCAATGACACGGGGCAATGCCAGGCTCAAGGATGCCGATGGAAGGCCAAGACCTGTCTATGACTTTGGCGACCGGGACGGCAGTGACTATCACAGCTCGGACGAGAGCAAAGAAGGACGAAAGCGAAAGCGCAAGGCCCCCACTCAAGCACCTGCGTCTCCTTCAGCCCGTGGAAGAGGCCGTGGCCGCCCGCGAGGGAGACCAAAAGGCACGGGCAGACCAAGAGGCCGCCCACGGAAAGATGGATCTCAACCGTCACCCAAACGAGGACTCACACCACCCGGAAGGAAGAAAGGCTCTTCTTCGAGGCGTCACTCTACCGGGACGGCCATGCTGGACCTAAGTTGGAAGAACGGTGGCAAGAATTTCCCAAAGAAAGTGAGCCAAGTGGGCCCTGATTTCAACGCAACCGAAATCGAAGAGGCGGGGATCTGGAAGATGGGAGACAGTGAGATTTAGTAAGTATTCGCACAACGAAAGCTGCAATATATATGATGAATTGAAGGCCTTACACTGTCAGTGCTTGGTTATTCTAATTCTCCTTTGGATAGCTGTGAACAAATTTGGGACCCCAAGGTAGCCGAAGACAGGCTAAACGGAGAGTCAACAGACTTTTTGGAGTCCAAGCAGATTCCTTACAACCGACGGGAAGGGGCCATGATCGGCTTGGCAGAAGCTGGCTACGACAGCCAAAAGTTTGAGGACGACAAGGTGGTAGAGAAGATATCCGCACGAGATGGCACAGAGTGGTCAGAAGAAGAACGGGAGCGGTATCATTTGGAGATTTTCCGAGCCAGAAAGGACATTCGGGAAGTGGCACGGGTGACGGGGAAGAGCATCAACAGTTGTTTGGCATATTATTTGGGTACCTTCAAGAAATCAGACGACTATCGTCTGCTAAAGACGGTTCGCTACGAAGAGCGGTTACGTCGCATGTTGGAGAACGACCACGATATGGATGCCTGTAAGATTTGTGGTGACGGCGGCAACCTTCTCATCTGCGATGGGTGTGAGTGTGAATACCATATGGAATGCATGAGACCGGCCCTTCAGAGCATCCCTGAGGGTACATGGAAGTGCGATGAGTGTGTGGACCGTGCCTTTTTGGCCGCCAAAGATTCATTGATCCGTAAGACCAAGCTCTTTGCTCGAGCCAAGGACCACAAGGGCGAAGAGCCATCCTGCAAGGAAGAGTCTGCCGAAGGGAGCGGCACGTTTTTGATGCGGCCAACTTCGCCTGCCCTCGATATTGTCAAAAAGCTTGCGACGAACATTAGCGCCGCCTTTTCGGATGGGAATGTCTAGCCAACGTTCTGCATTGACCAAATTAGACACGTATAGAATTCACTATAGAGAAAGACATACAATACAAATGGCTAGTACGTAACGCCTACCGGTACCTATAGACTACTAATCAACATGCATGCACAGTATAATACTGTAAACATCATATTTGACTTTGACACGCCACCCCAATTCTTATCTATCTCTGACTCGCTTCATCACAGTCATATACATAATTGAATTGTATTGAATTGTCGTGCTAAGGCAAGCGATGCAATAGCCGAAATGAGTTTTGCACCGACGAAACCGTAATATGCGAAGGACTGCCCGAGACTTGTGCAAGTCTCCAATCCAGTGGTGTAATTGGATCACTGACGGAACTACACCGGAACAAGATGGGAAATGGTGTTTCATCTTCATTGGGACTGGGTCGTTTCCACAAGTCAGCTTCGGCCACGACCAAGGCACTGTCCCCCTTGTAGAGCGCGGGCAATTTCCATTTGATGGTTCGCTTCAATCCATCCCAGACTCCAGCACCCCGTGAAACAACCATGGTCTCTCCATTAATCTTTTCCGGAACGGCCACGAGGATTGTCATGTCTTCCATATCTCCCTCATTGTCTAGTCGCGATCGTATCTGAATGGCAATGCGAATGCGTGTTCCATTGCGTGTGATTTTGCGTTCGACGAGAATGGGCATGAATTTGAGTTCTCGTTGCATGGAGTAGTAGGCAATGGGGACACTGATAATGGTGGATTTTGGAATGGTGACAAGAATGGGTACATTGCGTCCTGAATTTCTGGATACGGCGTATTCTTCGTTGGGTCGTACATCAAATGCTTGATGATCGCCACTTCCGACGAGCCGAGGAATCAAGAGAGCAAAAGGAGCATTCTTGCGTGCATCGGAACAGTGGACTTGAGCCTGTAATATGTTAGGAAGGAAGAGAGAGAGGTGAGACAAAAAGCAATCGAATGTGTTGATGCAGGGATGCATAGCATATCATGTACTTACATAGACTGTTCCTTCCACTGTGATTTCCGACGTGACGTCAAATTCATCGATTGCCATTTTGACTCGTGAGGTAACTTCTTCTCTGGTGGACAACTTGACTACCAGTTCTGCAAAACAACACAAGAAGAAGAAGAAGACAGAGTCTTAGCCATCAAACTATTTGTATCTCACATGTAGTGTAAGATCGACTTACTAGGTGCCAGTGGCGTCATGTGTTGTGTCTTTTCTTCAACATGTTTCTTGGGTTTGACTTGCTTATTTACTTGATCAGGACTGACCACTTGAAAGGGATCAAAGTCGGGGTTTTGTGGATTGTTGGCTCGTTCGGCTTGCGACTCGGTCTCGTGTTGTTGTGACGATTGTGATAATACTGGTGACACTGGAAATTCGGGAGCGGGTTGAATGGAAAAGTTGAACGCACCAAAGGGATCGCTCTGCTTGGTACGAGCGGCGTCTTCTCGCGCTTTCTTCTCGTCGCGAAACGGATTGAACAGTTTGTCCACGGCTGGCATGGTTGATCTAATAATAATAAAACTTCTGTAGCTAGATAGCTTGCTTGTAACTACTGTAGTAGTGTAGTAATACCAACTAGACTACTAGTACTCTTTTGAATGGACAAATGAATGAAGAGAACGGAGCTTTGAAGGACGTGGAAGTCAATTGTGACATGTTTTGTTGCACTTCTTTCGCTTTGAAGAGAGCGCAAGCCCGGCAGGTCCCCAAAATCCAATCCACCATCAAAAATTTGCCAAAAACGCCGTTAGAAGCTAAGCAATGAGCCAAACGCCGTTAGAAGTTTCCAAGCAATGCTTCCCAAGCTGAGCCGCAACACTTTTTCGCACCAACCACCATGAAGCCTTTAAAACCACCCACTCCCACCAGCAGCATGACGGCTGCTGCCAAGAAGAAACAACAGCAGCAACAGCAGCAGCATCGAAACTACATTGAAACCTTTGATGTGTGGACCGAAGAAAAACAGGAAAGCGACCCCTGGTCCGCCACCTCGTGGACCACGTCCACACCCACATCGCAACTGTCGTTGGATTTGATGATGTTTCCCGATGTCGATACATCCTTTGATTCACTCCAATTCTCGGCCGAATCACCACCGGAATTCGGATACAATCCATTCTCCAAAAATGGAAGCAAACCCGCCATGGTCATGGCACCCAAACCGGAACTCTTTCCGTCGGACCCCATGGCCACACTCGGTGGCTTGTCGTCGTCCTTGAACAAAACTAGTATAATGACAAACACCACCACCACCACCACGACGGACAAGGATGCCACGGTGCGAGTGTCCATTCGAGAAGAATTCTCCACCATCTATGATGATGCGGGAAGTACGCCCAGTTGTTGTCTGGAGGGATCCATCTACGTGAGTTACATACATACATCATGGACTTATTGATGATGTACAGTAAAAACTGGGTATCAGCATGACATCTGACTCAAAACTTGGTTTTTATACATCTCTTCATGTTGCTATTAAAGGTCCAACCACTTTCTATTTCCTTTGACACCCAAAAACAGTTCTCTTTGGTGGTCAAGGACAGCCACGGATACGTGGAAAACTTGCAAAGCGTGCAAACGGTATCCACCAATATTTCCACACCCGCCCATCGGGAAGGAGGAGAAACAGTCTTTCGAGTCAAGTTGCCAAAACAGTCATCGGCGGTAGAAGTACCCGTAGCTAGTTATACCTGCAATCCACAACTACGACCCATCCCCATGGTACGTAATCAAGCAAGCAAACAAACAAAACATTATGGTGATGAAACTCGCTTGCTTCCAATCGGGAGAAACCAATGTAGCTCACATCATATTTATCTATCCATCCATCTTTGCCCTCCTACGTCCTGTCTTCTTGCTCATCACACTATTCTCATCATAATATACAGCTCGTCAAGAGCCGCGTCCAGGTTACGGATGATGTCAGCCGAGTAGGATTCAAAGTAAGAGCCAATCCATCCAACACGGAACCTCTCAACCAAATGGTCATTCTAGTCGCAGTACCACCCTTTGTGCAAGGGGAAACAGTCAAAATGTCGAGAAAGGGAGGTATCTGGGATGAAATGAAACGAACCATTTGTTGGACCATTGACAAATTGGAACCGGGTGAGGTCTTGGAAATACAAGCACAGTTTCAATCCGGCAATTTGCAAAACTTGGCACAAGTGGATCTACAGTTTCCCGTGCTCGTAAGAGCCGATGTACCAAGGTTGTTTAGTGGGATTGGCATTGCCACACGATACGATGATGAAGCGGGAGCAGAAAAAAAGGAAGAGCCAATCCAACATGCATTGTCCCAATGCACTCGAATACTGCATCGAAAGGTGTGATGCAACACAAGAGCAGTATGATTTGTAAAAGTAGGCGACTTGTTGTGGTGTTACAATGACATACCGGTACATGCAGTAGTTTTGATTGATCGTTCCAAACGATTGCTCTTGGAGTGATCAAGAAAGGTGCAGCGCCGTAGAGGTACCGTACCTGGTACCGGTACCGGTAAGGACGAAGCCCTCCTCCCTCCGAGGCGCGCAATGCTACCAGTACAGTACGGTACATCGTACGATGCAGACCAGCCGTACTGGTGAGGTGTTGGAGGCTCTGAAAAGTTTGTAGCCAGCAATTGCCAGCCCAGGATACCGGTATGCCTCCGGATGCTTCACCTCTTGGCTTGCATCATGTGCATTCCTTCGCAACACTTGCATTACCGTACCGGCAAGAGACTGCAAAGGCCCGCATAACAGCAATAGGAACTCTAGCAACCGTGGGCTGGGATGATACGGGAAGCAGGTGATGATGGTCCCAGTAAGAATGACAACAACTAGTAGGTAGCAAGCTCCAATAGAGTGACAGTTGAGCACCATACCTTTCGTATGGCAACCTGCGTCACAGAAGGCTAAGGCACGCTAAAGGTACGGTAGGGGTGGGGTTATCAATGAAAAAATTTGAGAGCAGGCCTGCTCGGCTTTGGTTCTTACACTTTGGAGGTCGGCAACGACAAATCGTCCGACGGGCGTGGCTGTCTATCTGGGAATTCAGAGTTGGCTGATGAGTGTTGCTGCTGACAGTCCATCGCAGTCTGCCTCTTGTCACATCGCATCATCTCCAGAGCTGCACTACCCATCGGAGTAAGACGGTTGTTGGTGTTGTCGTTGGTGGAGTGCACTAGAGAGAAGCAGGAGGTCATTAGTAGCGACTATCCTTGAGTTATCTCAACAAAAATCAACTCGACGTGTTGGAAAGTCATCACAAGAACTCGGTGAAAAGTTGTCAATCTTGCTCGGCGAAGAAATTTCAATATGACGTACAGATCTCGAGGACGATCCCTGATAGAAGTTATCCTGGTAGGTTATCTTCACTGTGTTGCCGTTTTGCGGCGATGTGTCTGAAGTGGTCGGATAGTGGACTTGGGCGCAGCAATGTTGAGGTAGCATGCCGTTTGCTGTGCTGGACGAAATTTCGTTTCTGTTACTTCCGATTCAATTCTTCTCAGCTCTTTTGCACGCTAACGTCTTGCTCGTCTTTGATTGATCCAGGCTGTCTGCTTTGTATGCTTTCTGGTGGGTTTCATCACGGTGCTTTGCATCGGTAACTACTTCCGGGCTAAACGGGCTCAAGAACGGCAACGACAGCGGCGACTGGCAAAGTTAGCATCCTCAGGCAACAATGGACAATATGCGGCAGATCCGAACTATTCAGGGACATATGAAGCGCCAATGCCTACTGACGATGGTCCTGGAGTGGGGGTTCCGGCCTAGGCAGACATGGATGGAACGGAAGCTAATAGAAAAAGAGCCACCGACAACAACGAGCGCCCCCCGCATGACCGTCATGCTGTAGGAGATAGATGACAACCCACTCTGGTTTGGCTGCTCAAGGATACACACGAATCAAGGATGGCTGGAATGATGTATCTAGAGTTTTCACCACCACCATGAAAAACAAACAACACACAATCTGCACTAATAGTTACTAGCCGATTTTGCGGTATTTTGGGATTCCTTGTAGGAACCTTTTCCGTCCACTTTTCCACTGAAAGCGTTTGTGTATCTATCTAGTTGTGTAGTGTGCTGTTGTCACGCCTCTCTCCGCAGCCAGACTAGCTATTAATAACTACCAGTACCTTCGTGCAGACGGAAAGTGGCAATCAACCGCAGATCTTTGTCGCTTGGCCCTGCGACACTCATCTCCTACCATACCGGTAGATAGTTCTAGTGACTAGATAAGTCTGAGATTTCTTTTTCTGGCAGGGAGCAGCAAGCAAAGTGATAAAATACCTGTAGATCTCTGTAGTAGCGGATTGGCAGGTAGGTACGATAAATGTATGCATAGCAGTGCCGTCCAATATTTTACGTCAACCCTAACCGCTAACCACGCCGCTGTACCATGCACTAGCTGTACATTCATTGGTTGACACTACCTATCAGCTTCTCTACGATTGCTGTGAAAGTACAAAGTGAAGTGTAGCTTCGTTCTAGATAGAGACAAAGTATCTTGCTTTGACTGTGGCTTTTCTTCTGGCATCCTTCTTCTCCTGAACTTGGAATGGCAGGAGCTATGGCAGGCCAGAATGAGCGAGTTCAAGATAGACCCACCACTTCGATCCAAACCTGAGTTTTCAACAACTTTGCTGCCGGTTCCGACGTCTGGCCATCGCCAACATCAAAACGGTGTCAGCTGTGCATGACAATGGCCTCCCGCCGTTGTAAAATCACGGGATCCTGAAGCCAATCACACCCAAGCCAAAAGCAATCGACAATGAAGCTAGAATCTTTTACAAGGATATCTCTGCTGTTTGCTATTTTTCTGAATGCTGGCCATGGCTTTCTGCTACCTTCAGCATGCCGATCATCAATTGTGTTGAAGTCCGCTTCGTCCGATACCGACACCGACACACTGACTATACAACAGGCTTCGCAGATCTTGCAAGAGTGGGACCAATACTACAACAAGGAGAATACCAGTGGCAACTCACTTCCTGAGGAAATCATGAACAAAAATCGTCCCATACTGCCCGCAGCCATTCGTCTGTTGAATGAAGCAGCAAGAGAAGAGCGTGACAAGGACTCCACAATGGGTCGCTGCATGTTGGGGATCTGCGCTTCTTCCATTGATGAAGGCATTGCAACACTCAAATCCTGGGTAACTGGGCTTGGTTTGCCCCGAGGAATACTACACGGCGCCGACAAAGATGGAGTACAGCTTGATCTGGACGGAGGCGTCTACATCAAGTACAACACGGGAGGATTTCTAACGTTTTCGCAAATCAGATCATCAGGCATGGGCTTTGATGCACTCTGGAGGCCTGGAGACGCACTGCTGGAGCCATATGATGGAAACTATCGAGGTGTATACTTTCAAGTGGAGCTGGATGATGGAGTCTTTCGACAGTATTTGGTCCCATTGGATACCTTTGATGAGGCGTGATTGTGTTACCAAGTGCGCGTGTGTACCTTACCAGAGCATGAGTTTGATTGCCATGGAAAATTATCAATCAAATCAACAATCTGCAGCCCTGTTGCCTTGGCACAACCTGTACAGTCCATAGTTAGTAAAGCTAGTACTAGTCCGTAAAGGAACTAATCAAAACTACTCTCATATTTTCAAAAGTCAGATACATAGTAATTAGAATAGTAAGCCAATATAGCACAGACTTGGTTCTCCTAGCTTGTGCTACAGGGATTCCCCCTCAATCTTGAGAACCCAGCTTGCCTGTAATGTTTGGATTGAAGATTCCAACGATGCACCGACAGTGTTCCAAATCAAATCAAGCGCCACAGTTACAAGGAGTCTTAAGAATCAGATTATTCTTAAGAATCAGGAAAAAATCTTGGGAAAATTATGATTCTTAAGAATCGATTTGGGTGGCCTTGGCTTGGAAGTTGGAAGGGAAGGTTGGAGTTCTCAAAAGATCGTTGCTTCCGGCAACTCGCTCTGCTGCCTTCTGAAAAATCCGACGAGCCGACGACTCGGAGTGTCCAGTTCAGACGACGCCGAAGAAGACGACAAAGAAGACGACGACAATGATGAACGGCAGTCACAGTGGAGCCTCGTCGTCTCCCGGTCGCGACCATGACGATCCAAGTAGTAGTAGTCGTCGTGTCATTGCCACTCCAATGGCAGCAGGAGCGGCCAATACTGCAATGAAGCTGTTCGAGAACTACTCCAGCTTGAATCGCGCCATTGACAACACACGAAAGGAGATGAAGCAGACTCGGGCAGAGATTGAAGAGATCCAAGGCAAAATCCAGATGAGTCGACAGGAACGTGACTCCATGAAGCAGCGAATTGTCTTGGCCAACAAGGAGACTAGCGAATTCCACCACCAAATTGATCAAGCCAATGACGAGCTGTTGGAACTGGATTTGATCCGCGCGTCAATGAAGAAACAACAAGCAGAACGTGAGCTGCAGCATTTGAAAGACTACCGCGACAAGCAGTACCACGAATTCAAGGAAGCATCACGAGAATTCCGAGCTGAGATTCGACGCAACCGACTTTGCTGTGCCACAGAGTTGGGATTGGAAAGAGTTCACACCAAGGCATTTGCCACTGTCCTGGCAACCGATTCGGCAGTGCAAGCCATGTACTCTCCAGAAGCAATCTCTGTTTCGCCAAATGTCTTTGATGAAGGCAACAAGGACATGTATCAACCAGCAGTGGAGCATGGAGGGGTGGTTCCCTTTGCCGAAAGCCCCAATCTCAAAACAGATCCTCGTCTTTGGACCCCGGATCCTCGTGATGAAGTCATGAAAGCAAAGCTGAGTGTCTACTGCCAACAAATCTCCAAACGTGAGAAAGAAATTCAAGAAGTAGAAGCTCTTCGAGACAAATGTGAGGCGGCCAAAAACAAAGCCCAGTCCCGTGCCCGAAACATGCAACAACTGGAAGCGCAACGTGACCGCATCAAGAACGATGTCATGGAAATGGAACAGAAGATTGAATCCTTGAAACAGGAAACAGAAGAAACGGAGGCATTGGCCCAAACCTATGAGAAACGTACGTGCCCTCTGATTGATGATTGTCAGTAGAAGTGCTCTTTGTTTGCTAACCAAGATGACTCTTTTCTTTCCCTGTTCTTTTGGTGCCAGAGGTCAAGTGCAAGCGACTGGCCTTGGCACAGGCGCGGTTTGAAAATGGAGCATCCAGCAGTGGGGCGCCTGACCGTAACCCTCGTCCTACTGCCGCTGCTGTGGCTCAAAACCCGTACAAGAACCGAAACAATGGCACTAGCAATAGTGGATGTCAAAGCTCATCTTCTCGTGGAGGCGGAAGACCTGCTTATCAAAACCAACAATCAACTTCAACTTCTCGACAGCAGCAACAGCACCCCCGTCGAGAGGGTCGCATCCGAGTGAATCGTCAATTCACAACCAACTTGTCCATTTTGGAGCCGGATGCAGGCCGCAATGACTGCAATGAGCAGCGTGGTTCCTTGCTGGACAACGACAGTGATTCGGATGATGAGCTCCTCTCATTTACTCCATTTCCCAAGCGTCCTTGAGTCTGTGCATTGGAGCAGATTGCTGTATTCAAACATCAAATACAAGCAATCAATCAAACAAACAAACAAACAAACAAACAAACAAACAAACAAACAAACAAACTACTGGGACCAAGAGACGACGATTGGGGCAGCCGGCATCTATGTACATTTTTCTGTTGATTGCTTGTCGCAATTCGCTAGCTGGTAAAAGTAATGAAGTTGTCAGGGGCTTGTCGTCGTGCCGCTCTTGCGCTCTTGCCACCCAGTTGGTCTCAGATTGTTGTGTTGTCGAATCCACGCGTAACAAACGTACTATTTCGTATTACAATCCGCCAGCAATTTTTAGTTTGGTTCCCTCAACAGCTACTAATAGAATCGGATAGCAGGAATTCAATGGCCAGAGCGACTTCGGTGGAAGACCTGTTGCATTATTTGAAAGCTGAAGTCCGGAGTTCTCTTACAACATATGTTGGTAACTCGCTCTGCTGCCTTCTGTGAAAAGATCCAGTTTGTCGATGGCCGACGAGGCCGAGCGACAGCGACAGCGCAACATCGGCACTCTCTCGTAGGTAGCAGGTTCATTCCGAGTCTAATAGCTAATAGTGAACCCGAGATGGAGGAAGACCGCAGCAAGAGAGCTCTCAAATGGAGCCCATCCCCACCTGAGCAGCAAAAGCGAGCAAAACAGTCAAGAGAGGTCTCGAGTGAAGATGTATCGGCAGCACTTTCCTCTCTGTTGCAGAAGCTCCAGTCGACCAGCCATAACAACAAAGGAGAAGCAGCACATGAGCTCAAGGTTGCCTTGTCCCTACAGAAACAGATGAATGACATTGTCCAACAGGCAGTCACCAACCTCAGGCTTTCCCCTGAAGACTCATGTTTGCGGCATGAGGATATTTGGACCAAGAAGATATTCCCATGTCTTGGCATGGGGCACTTTGCCTTTGTGGCACCCGTCAGCCACAACATGAAGAAGCTATACAAGGCTTATTGTAAGACAGAGAGGGATCCTCCATGGGTCAAGCGCTTTGATGATGATGAAGAATTCTTCGGAACTCAACAGATACTTTGCACAGTGTCATTGTCTCCAGCGTGTCACGTGCAGAGTATTTGTCGAATTGGTACACCGACGGTCATGCTGGCACTGATGGACAGATTGATGGCACTGTTGTCTGTGCTGCAGCTGCCAATGTGGGCAATCTTCACGTTGTTCAATGGGCCCAAAAAAAAGGACTCAATTGGGATGAACAAACTACCAAAAATGCAGCAAGAAATGGCCATTTGGATATCCTGAAATTTGCTCACGAAAATGGCTGTCCATGGCATCAACAGACATGCGGCATTGCCGCTAGAAATCGTCATTTGGAAATCCTAAAATTTGCCCATGAAAATGGGTGTCCTTGGGATGAAGAGACATGCCGAAATGCTGCGATGTGTAGCCATTTTGAGATCCTACAATATGCCCATGAAAATGGGTGTTCATGGGATCCACAGACGTGCGTCAATGCCGCTGGAAGTGGCCATTTGGAAATCCTCAAATATGCCCATGAAAATGGGTGTCCTTGGGATGAAGAGACTTGCCGAAAAGCTGCTGAACGTGGCGAGGTGGAAGCCCTGCAGTATGCCCATGAGAATGGCTGCCCGTGGGATGGCCGGACTTGTGAATCTGCGGCTGGTCCGACTGGCAACTTGAAAGTCCTGAAATACGCTCATGAGAATGGCTGTCCGTGGGACGTGGAGACATGCACCACTGCTGCATTAAACTGGAAGTTTGAAATATTGAAATATGCTCATGAGAACGGCTGTCCATGGGATGAAGAAACATGTACCGTTGCTGCGATGTATGGCAAATTGAAAGTGCTCAAGTATGCCCATGAACACGGATGTCCATGGGATAGTGACACCTGCAAATATGCTGCAGCCAACGGCAATTTGGATTGCCTCAAATATGCCCATGAAAATGGCTGTCCATGGGATGAAGAAACATGCGGTATTGCAGCTGATCATGGCCGTTTGGAAACCCTCAAATATGCCCATGAAAATGGGTGTCCATGGGATGCCAACACCTGTTATCTTGCAGCTGAAAATGGTCGGTTGGAAGAGTTTAGGTTTGCAATTGAACATGGTTGCCCTTATCATGAGCGTCTTCTGTTGGCGAGCAGTGTTGCGCACGACCGGATGGTGGCCTGGGTTGTAGACACGTTATCCCATACGGTACAAGCGCCTGAATTTATTTAAACCAGGGTGTTCACCTTGGAATCCCAGGCGGCTCCGTAGTCCTGGATAGTAACTTTCAAAGTTACGACGAAACTTATAGCTCTACAACCAGCCATGTTTCTGCTTTCAACTACATGTACTAGCTAGCTAGGCACTTAGTGGCAATTTTCCATCCTCAGATTGCCCACATCTCGGAATCCCTCTCATAGTCGGCTTCTAGCTAGCTCCTATGGTCGCTAGCTACGGTAGTTACGGTACCCGCAGAGGGAGAGCAGTTTGCCATGCCAAGCCCCTTTCTTGTGGCACTTGGGCTGTCACGCAACCTTGCTGGGTTATGAAAAGATATCTCGGAATTGTGGCGAAGAACAAATCTTCCGCGTGGCAAACCTACCTCACTCGTCGTGTCAGAGTTGATATTACCGTACCGGTATCGATCTTCTTCCTCTTGTTCCGAACATAATCGCAAAAAAGAGATTGTGGCTTTAGTAAGCAAGATGAGCAACATCGAGGATGGCGTCCACATCTCGGTAGCTTGCGAGACGTACCATGTCCAACATCAGCTTGAGAAGGCTGCCACCGATTCTGCTCTGACCATTGAAGTCCCTCAAGGAGATCTGTTACAAGGAGTCTTAAGAATCAGATTATTCTTAAGAATCAGGAAAAAATCTTGGGAAAATTATGATTCTTAAGAATCAAATACAGGGTAGACAAGGATTCTTAAGAATCAGCCTATTCTTAAGAATCAGAATTTTGCTGATTCTTGGAAATTGATGATTCTTAAGAATCAGCAAAGGATTCTTAAGAATCAGTTTTTTCAAAATCAGATTCTTAAGAATCAGCTAGATGATTCTTAAGAATCAGCATTCAAAATGCTGATTCTCAAGAATCTGCATAGTGGAATCTTGGAAATGACACAACACCAAGTGTACATAACATGTACATAGAGATTCGTACTGCTGCTGATTCAATGGATGCTGACAGCAACCATTGCAGTGGCAAGAGCTAGCCAGTGCAAGGTGTCTACCGGTAGGCTTTGGTGGACTTGCAGTTCTTGAGAATGCAGCACATTCTAGAATGCAGCACATTCTAGCTGCTTTCTGACTGTATCCATACAAAATGCTGTGAATTGACCCATAGGACTCCCTAGTAGACTCGAACCAGCCACCATGCATGTGTCTCCTTCAATGGTGCTATTGGCGGAGTTACCATCTTGGCTTCTTGCTAGTGCTAGCTACTACATGTAGTACCGGTACCTTGTGCATGGCGCCATTTCGAGGACATGTGAGACATGTCATACTGACGAAAGAGAGAGCTAGTTTTTTATTGAGTAGACGAGTAGTTGTTTTGGTGGCCTTTGCATCACAATTACTGTAACCATGCCGGTAGCCATTGCATGGACAGTCAATCAACCCACAAGTAAGTGTGTTGGCACCATGCCAGCACAGAGGAATTTGAAAGAAACTGAGGAAAAAGAAAGAAACTGATTCTCAAGAATCAGCATTTTCGATGACGGGATTCTTAAGAATCCTCTTTCCCCAGATTCCTCGCACCAGATCGCACACCATCGGCAGAAATTATCAAGCGATTCCATTTGGTTGGCAAACAGCTTTCGGGTGTCAGATCCCTTATCATTTCCCCCCATTGCGAGGAAGACGACGACTATACCGACGCCGGCAACCTCCCCATTCGAGCCTTGGGTGATATCATGACCATTAATTGCCGAACACTTCAACACGTGGCACTCCGTCAAGGACTGCTGTTAACGGGCAGCGAACAAGACTACCAATACACATGTCGATGCATTGCAGAAACCAAGCAGCTCCAGAGCTTTCAAATGTTGGGTTGTGGTGTCTTCAATGGAGATAGACTCTTGGATGTCGAATCCTCATTGACCGATTCGCTCTTTGCAGCTCTTGCAGAGCTGCCTTTGCTGGGATGCGTCGAATTGGATCGCATGTCACTGAACACTCCAGGAGGATTGACTCGGTTTTGTTCCAATAGTGTAACAACAACCCCATCTCTCAAGCTCAGCAACACGCTACCGTCGGAGCAGGAACTCTTGTCCATGTGTGATCATTACTCCAGATTGGTCAAGCTAGAGCTGTGTAACATACCCAACATCAATCAACACATTGAACTCATGGCGTCGAGTTTGAAACAGAACGTCACAACGAAACAGTTGGAAATCCATTGTCCGCGTCATCTCAGTTGTGAAGAGGCAATGCCAATCTGGAACATGTTGGAAGAAAACCATGGATTGCAAACCATGGGACTGGCTCTACAATGTTCTTCCGAGTACGGCTACAAGGAACCAATGGGCAAGGCTCTCCAAAAGATGCAATCCCTCCAGCAGCTTCATCTCCATTTGCATGATGCCAACCAGACAAGACGGCTGGAAAGCGCCTGCTTTCTCCTTGAACACTTACAGCGCAATCAGTCTCTGACAGAGTTCCAGTTATGCCTAGAAGAGTACGGAGAGTCCCTTCATGATCTTCAATGCATCTACACGGAAAGACTCAACGAAAGCATTGCTGGGGCTCTCCAAACGAACGCGACTCTACTGAAGGTATCCTTTTCCATCAACCGTCGCACGTGTAGAACACCACTCTCTGAGGATGTTGAAATTTGGTTGCGGTACAATCGGGCTGGACGACGTTCTCTTGAGCTGCATCCAGAGGACCGCCAACTTTGGGTGCGAACCATCTTGAAGCACACGGACGATACACCTATTGTGTTTCAGATTCTCATGGCGAATCCAGCGCTATGCTTGTCGCCGGCAAGGACAGTTAGGTCAACGCAGCGAAAGAGAAAGCGGTTATTGCAGTCTTTTGAGGGAGGAAATAGAAGCCACATGCAAACGATAGCTTAATAAGCATAGTGAAATGGAATCAACTCATAATGGTACCAAGCTATGAACAGTACCAACATTGTAAGTTCGAGGCATCCGGTGCATCCTTCGTTTTAGGACTCCAACGTGTCAATAGTCTTGAGCTCTCCTTTGTGTCGTCAGATTGCTGCAGTTGACGTTGTGTCATGCATGGCTAATCCTCTCCCCCGTGGCCTCCACCACGGATGTTCTGAAAGCTGTTAAAGATGGAGAATCCAAACCAATTGCCCTGCTGCTTTCGTTCCTTTCGATCTTGCAAAACACGATACAGCTTGTCAGCTGCAAAGGCAATTTCTGGTAGAGCGTCGGCGCTTTCTTGATGCCACAGCGCATGTGGGGAGTCCCTGTTGCAAAAACTTGCTCCAGGGTATGCCTCCTCTGAGTTGTACGTATACTTGGTTGGGTTTCCAAACCCTGTCAATATATTGATCAAGAAATCAACAGATGGCGTCTTGGTTGCTCCCAGCGCTGTCACATTGAAATACATCCCCTCCAAACCAGGAGTCTTGAGTCGATTCTCCTGAAAGAGGTATGCCCAAAGAATTGATAGGGCGGCCCCAAGCCCCTTTCCCAACAGAGGGAATCCGATCCAAGCTGGCAGTGGCAAATCCAAACTATCAGCTGCAATCTTGGCTTGTGGAAAGTACTCGTTTTTCACAAAGTCAATCTTTGTTTGGTTGTTGATAAAGGCGGGAGCCAGCACATCTGCCATAAGACATTCGCATAATGAGTACGGAAGAGTAGCAATACAAAACCATGAACAAAATAGAAGAGCACTTTCTTCAGCATCAGGCACATCCAAGTCATTGATGTATTGAGACCACTCAAGAAAGGATAAATCTTCCTTCAATGGAAGGAAAGTCATTTCATCAATGGGCTTCCAAAATGGGGTAATATCCTCAAGTGGTTTTATGTTGCTTCCAGTGCGGAAAATCGTAGCATTGAAGTTGGGATCATCAACATCACCGACACTTTGAATGGCCATTTGATATGCAAGAAAAAGTGGGAGCCCAGCATTCTCCACATCCATGACAAACCCCAGTCTCGAGAAGGATCCATGAAAGTAACCTGATGCAATGGATTGAAATCCAATTGATTTCATCAAGGCAGATTGATATGAGCTGTTGGAATGCCAGCGGTCCCCATATTTACAAATTCTCAGAGCAGCATTGTAGTATGCAACATTTGAAACAAAATTGCACCTCTCAGAAACCTCAACTGCCCCAAAGGAATTGAAGTTGCCCCCATAAAGTCCCTTCTTCTTCTGTCTGGATTCCAAAAAGCTGTCAGACTCTCTCCACCGTGTTGACGCATCTTGTGCAGCTTCCAAACTGGTGTACATCTCATAGAATGTGCGCCAAGCAACATCATGAGATTCTAGGACTGGTTCATCCCATTTTCCCAGACAGTCCACAATTGATTGATATGCTCTTTCCGGGTATCTGCTGTCTCCCCAGAAGATTGACATGTCATCCAGTGCCAGCTTTGTTTCATTGGTGCCTTCTACTTGCTGAAGACAAATTATCAGAGCTTGTACGTATATGACAGCACGAAGGGCTCGGGGGATATTGCGAATCATTGTTGTCCGACTGAGCAAACTCGGCATCAAGCAAGAGGTTTCAACGTTATGGCGTCTTGGAGCCCTGGCCGAAGTTACGGATACTGAGAGGTTCGCAGCGTACTGTGTTGCCTGCAAGGTCCACCATGAAGTCGTGGTGGCAGAGTGCCTGCTTCGTTTGCGCGCATCTGGCCGCTTGCAAAAATGTTGTGGCTAGCTATCCAAAATGTGAGGACCAAGATCTTTCCTTGATGCCTTCGAAAACAGGTGAGTGAAATTTTACGTTACGTACCATTCACCAGCCACATTTCAACCTGAATTGAATATCTCCGGGTGTGGTTGAGATGAAGGCCTTGGTTGGGTGCAAGCCATGCCATTTGGAGGCTCTCTCTCTTGTGTTTACCCAGCTGGTGGAGCTGTGACATGCTCTCATTAGTCTAGCTAGTTAGGCATCTTATTTCGCTTTTCACAGTCGGTCTGGTGCGAGGAATCTGGAGAAAGAGGATTCTTAAGAATCGGGTCATCCAAAATGCCGATTCTTGAGAATCGGCGTGGGAACAAAACAGAACAATCGGCGTCAAATCTTGAACGGCGTCA